TTTTTAAGGAAAATAAATATTAAATAATAAGTAAATATAGTTTTTAATACTTATAATAAACTTAATATTATAAAAACTTTTAATTTATAATTATAAAGTAATATAAAAGTATAACGAGAAAAGAATAAATAATAAGGCTTATATAAATTTTTTGCTATTAATAATTATAACCTTACTTTAAATCTTTTAAATAACTTAATAATTTTTTAATTTATAATAATATAGCTATATTATTATAATAAGATAAAGAATGCTATAATTTAAACTTTATAGCTAAATAATAGTTTGCAATATATTATATATTTTAAGCTAAATCCTTTAAATATATACTTAAATTCTTTAAGATTAAGATAATAAAAATAATCTTTAAAAGTAAAGAATAAACTAAAGATTTTTGCTAAGGTATTTTTAGCATAAATATTTATTATTTAAATATTTTTTAATTAAATATTTATTATTTAATATAAGAAAAATAATTATAAACTTATATTAAAGCTTTAATAAAATAATATAATTATTATATTTAAAAACTTATTTAAGGAATTTAATTATAAAAAAGTATTAAACTTAATTAAATATAATATTTTTAAGTTTATACTTTATAATAAGAAAATATATAATAATATATAACTCTTTAAGTTTTAAATAATATATAAAATTAAAAGTAAGATTAAGAAGCCTTATAAAAAGTTATGTTTTATAATAGCTAATTATAATAATTATAATAAGAAAAAGATTTTTACTTAGTTTCCTATTATTTAATAATTAAGTTAATAACTTTTAATTACTTTAGCATTATTTATTCTTTAATAAAGAATATATATTAAGCTTTAAAATATTACTTAAGCCTATTTATAATTAAAGTTAAAGCTTAAATATATAATACTTATAAGGTTATTATTAAACATTTATAATAAATATCCTTTTAATATTATTATACATATTATTAAATCTTTATATAATATTACTAAGTTTAATATATATTAATAAATAATATATTATAAATATTATTATAAAAAATTAAGCATAATTATCTTTATTTATAATCCATGCTTTTTTATTTTAAATAATAATATAAATAACTTTAACATTATAGCTATATAAATAAATAATATTCTCTTTATTATTACTTTAATATTCTTAATAAAAAAAAAGAAGATTAAAAAGGCGGATATTTAATGTAAGTTAAAGATAATACTTACTCTTAAAATAATACTTAACTTTAATGATATAAAGATTATTATTATAAAGGATAGTATTATTAATATATATTAAAAGGGTTAGGGCATAAAGATTACCCTTATTTAAATTACCTTTCTTAATTAAGGATAATAATATATTAAGTAACGGGCTTATAATGCTTACTTAGCTTTTATTTATTAATTAAAAGCTGCATTTAATTTTTTTATAGCTACTTAAATTATTAATTTAAGTAAAAAAGATTATATTAAGCTTAATAAAAAGCTTTAATAATAAGCTAATTATCTTAAATGCGGTATATAATATATATTATTTAACTTAATTATAATTAAATTGCTTATCTTTATTAATAATTCTTTTATTAATAATTAAAATCTTAGCTTTTAAATAAACTTTATTATTATTTTTATTAATAAAACTTAAGGCAATAACTTTATAAAATTAAATATTTATAATAATATTATTTATTAATTCTTTATTAAGTATAAAAAAGTTATTAAAAGCGTTTTAGCTTTTAAGATTTATAATATAGTTTATAAATTTAATATAAATATTATTTTAATAGCTACTTTATATTAAATTATTATTTATTTTAATATTAATATTATTCCTTTTATAATTTATATAAATTTATATTTTTTATATAAATACTTAGTTAAGCTTAGTATAATTAAAAAGAAATGCCTTATAATTAACTTAATAGCACTTTAATAATTATATAAAAGATATAAGATTTTTAAAATTTAATGGATTGTTAATAATTGCAACTTAATAAATGCCTTTATAAAGGGTATATTAAATAAAACTTTTAAATAGCTTATAAGTATTAATAAAATTATAATTAAGGTATAAGGATATATTAATTAAAAATAGTTATTTATTTAAGTAAAAAGAAAAGGTATATTAAGGCTTAATGTATTACTTATTATTAAAGAAAATATTTAAATAAGAGTTAATAAAAGTTAATAAGTTAAGTTAATTATAAATAAGGCTATAAAGAAAAAATTATTAAAGCAATTTAATCTTTACTTTTATTTAATAAAAGTATATAAAATTAGCAAAAGTTTAAATTTTCCTTTTATTAATTAATTATAAATTACCTTAAGGAATAATATAATATAGCTTATATTTGAAATTACTTTCCTCTTAAAGGCAAACCTTATAACTAAGATTTTTATAATAATGCTTATGCATTAAGGGTTTAAGTAATAAGGGTTATTATTATTTTATAAGCATTTAAGTTGCTAGCTTATGTTTAATGGGCGTTCTTAATTAAATTTCATAGTTTAATACTTATATATTAATCTTATATATATTTTTATTTATTAACTTAATTAATATTAAATAATTTCTTAATATTTAATTTTTTTCCTTTATTTAAATACTTTATTTATTAACTTTTATAACTTATTTTATTTATCCTTTCTTTATAATTAATCAATCTTTATTTAATTATGGAAATTAAGTATAATTAAGCTTAAGCTAAATTAAATTAAGGTATATTATAAGCTAAAAATTAAATAATAATGTTATTAATTTAAGGGTTTGGTTTAATTCTTATTTAATTTAGGCGTTATAAGCAATAAAAGCATAAATTTATAAAATGCATTATAAATAAAACGTTTATATAGTAAAAGCAATAATTTACGCTTTATTAATTAATGTAATTAAAATAATTTATTATATATAATTATTAAAATAACTTTTATTTATTAATTATGTACTTTAATGAAATAATTAACCTTTAACTCTTTAATAATAACCCAAGCCTTTTTATATGCTTGCTTTTTATAAGTATTTAGCATAATTAAATAAGCATATATCTTTAATTAATTTAATTAATTAATAAATTTAAACTTAGCGGCTTTAAGTTTAATTTAATTTCTTTTTCTTATATACTTTTTAAAAGCATGTATAAATTACTTAATTAAAGATTATTAGTATGGTTATGAATGTGCTATAAGGGGATAGCAGCATTATGGATAATAGGCACTATAGGCAATTGGCATTAAAGCACTGGCAGGCAAGGGTTACATGCGGCAGCACGTGACCACCCCAGATAGTTTATAGCTAAAGGAAGGTTTTGCAGCCTATGGCTGCAACCCTCCTTCCTTTTATATAGCTGATTTAAATACAACCAATCTGCTATTAACTAACGTACGTTAACCTAATTAACAATCTTAATATTATTATAAAGAAAGTTATTAATAGCAGTTTTTTTAATAATTTTTTAAATATTATTATTTTTAATAATAAAAGAGTTAATAAAAAAATTAATAAAGGGGTTTTTATTAATATAAATAAAAGGATTTAGCTCCTTTTTATTATTTTTAATAAAGCTACTTTTTAATAATAATAATAATAAGGGTAGCTTTAAAAGTATCTTTTTTAATAATAATAACTTCCTTTTTATTAATAGCTTTTAAATAAGCTTTATTAATAATAATAAAAAAGGCTTTGCCTTTAGCTTAATAATTATTTAAAACTTCTTTATAAAAAGATTATTAAATGCTATAAATATAATATTTTTCTTTTTTATAAATGCTATATTTATTAACTTTAAAGAATTATTATTAAAAATAATATAATATTTAAGCTAAGATTATAATTAATAAAAGTTATAATTTAAAGGCTTATAATTATTATATAAAATTAACTTTAAGGTATATATAATAATAACCTTATTTAAAGGCTTTATAGCATATAAATACTCTTATTAACCATAATTATATATAAATAAATAATGCTTAGCATTAATTATACCTCTTTAGAGCTTTAACAGAGCATTAGCGGCTTTTATAAATCTTAATGATAAGTTAAAAAGCAAGAAATTATATTTAAGGGTAACCGCTATATATGGCAATTAATATATAAGCATTTAACAGCAATAATAACCTTAATAAGTATGTAAATTAACAATATTAAGGGTATTAATTAGCGACATAATAAGTATATACGATTTTTGGTGTGGTATATTATGTGCGAGTCGCTAGCGCCATTTTGATACGTTTGATTGCAAATGAGAGTAGGACTGGGGCTCTGGTTGGCAGGGATCACAAATGCCAGCAATGCAACCTGACAGCTGTCAGTCATCCTTTCTGGAGCAACGCAGCCTGCATGGGACGGAAGCTTGTGTTGAGTGAGATCTTTCTTGTCTGCTTTCTTGTAGACAACAGTGAGCGACACCGGGATCCCTGCAAGTTACCAACTCTTTGACGTGTCATGGTGCAAGTCCAGATTTAGATGCAGCTGCAGTGGCCCCAGACTACGGCGCCTAGCGCTTACCCGCCCTCGTGGACCGGAAGGTGAGCCTCCCGCGCGTAGCCACACTCCCCAGCCATCCGGTACGAAACTGCTCCGAGATGCTCATCCGCGCTTAATTGTACCTATCAAATCTGAATGATTAGCTCGCTAGCGATATCAGCTCTCAACGGCCGTCTGCGTCTGCAATTAGTGCTTGCTCCGCCCCCGGTCAGCAAGGCCCACGAGGCCCGGAGTGAGCACGGGAAGTCATTCCTCCTTCCAAAAAGCTTATGTTCTAGATGCTAGGGCTGAGGCCTGGCCTTCTTCCGAGATTCCGTGATCATCAGCCCCAATTTCTGTAGATTCGACCAGTGCAGAGTTGCGGTCAACAGACCAACCGTCACTACAGCATGGCGATGGTTTTGTAAATAAAAGCTGGCCTGTTTCCTGTTTCATCGGATGTTTCTGGCCAAGAGATATCATCTACATTCCTGTCTTGCATCACATCAACTAATTCTCTTCCCTTCTAAGTCCTGCTATTGAAGCATACCTTCGCGATGTACGCCACTCAGATATTGAAGTCTCTGGTGGTTTTGGCGGGAGCCACAATTGCTGCCCCGACCATTCCTCGATCCTACAACATTCCCGCAGGCGACGGTTTCCCCAGCCCAAGCCCGGAACAACTGGTTACCATCCAGCAAAAGGCAGGCGGCCAGCTCTCTAACGCCCTTCCACCGCCAAAGCTTGCCAGCAGCAGTTTGACTGCCTTCCAACTCATCGCCTTCAATGAGAATTTCGAAGTGGCCTTCTTCTCCTCGCTCAGGGACAACATCACCAGCAACGCCCCGGGATTTCAGTTGGATGATCAAAAGAAGAGAGACGACCTACTCTCAATCTTGGAAGCCGTTATAGCTGTAAGACTCCTTTCTGGCCTGCCGTGCTTTCCAAATAACTGACCTCCCACACAGCAAGAAGAGCTCCACGCAATAAACGCCAACAACGTCCTGACCAAGTTCGGAGCCCTCGCCCCTCCTCCGTGCACGTACAAATTCCCCACCGCCGACATCAACTCCGCCATCACCCTCGCCGAAACCTTCACCTCCTTCGTGCTCGGCACGCTGCAGGATGCCTCGCAGCTCCTGGCCGCCAACGGAGACGCAGGCCCGGTCCGCGGCGTGGCCTCCGTGATCGGGCAGGAGGGCGAGCAGAACGGCTGGTACAGGACCTTCCTGGGCCTCAAGCCGAGCGAGAAGCCCTTCCTCACCACGTCGGTCGCGGCCTTCGCCTTCAGCGCGCTGCAGGGCTTTGTGGACAGCTGCCCCTTCGACGTCACACAGATCCACATCCCTATATTCCCGCCCTTGAGTGTGGTCACTGGCTCAGGTGGCCTGGATGTCGAGGCAAAGGACCAGGCACTTGCATTCGAGGCGGATCTGAGCAGCGTTGAGGGTGCCGAGAAGTATGTCGGTGGAAACGGTGATGGGCTGTTTATCACATACCTGACGGGGCAGAACCTGCCTGTCAGTCAGCCAGTGACGAAGGTCTCCTGGGATGGCAAGAAGATCAAGTTTGAGGCATCGTTCCCATTCTCGGCGAATGTCATGGAGGGCCTGTCCGTCGCAGCTTTGACGACAAAGGCAGACTTCGCGACGCCTGGTGATGTTGTCACGGCCACTTTGGCTGCACCTGGCTTGATCCAGGTGAACGATAGGCTGTAAACAAGGTGGTTTTTGTTTCAATGGCGTTCCGGGACTGGACATTGCATGAGGAGCTTGGTTCACATCTAATACCCTGCATATTTGCCCAAGATCTTGTTTAGATAGCGTGTCTTTATTCTTCTTCGTTGCACATCGTCTCAATATTTGAATACAGATTTTAGCATTAGCTCAGTACTTCTTGGTCTAGATACTCACGCTTCACTTCACTCTTCCATCATCATGGGTTGCCAAAGGATGACCTTCGTGAGCAAAGTAATGGTCAACTGGTCGAGTGGTCAGCCCCCCGTCCCGGAGAAAGCCGGCAACCCCAAAAACCCGGCCTTTGTGTGCTCCGGATGGAAATTGAACCTGCGGATCCGCAGATTCCTTAGCCCGGACAAGTCGAGTTTTATTATCAGTGGACGAAGCTATAAGCCGCAGCCATCGTACGACTAAAAAAGCCACAACCGGCCTATCCGCCCGGCCGATCCTCACTGCCATGTCTCCGAGGGCTAACCCTGCATTGGACGAACTTACCCCAGATTCTGACCCCGGACCACTGCCTTGGCAACCCCTTGTCAGCTATGCTCTAGATGCAGCTGCCGGAGTCATGCTTTCGTCGGTGTTCAAGTGTTATTTCTTAGATCTTGATGTCTCAGGACTTGTGGGACAGACCGGCTCGAAGCCAGTGACTTCTCTCAGCACAGAAAAGCTCTTGCATGCTATTGTGCATCCACTGATGATGGGAATGTCGCAGTTGCAGCAGACTCCTCGGGTCCAGCTGTCCCTGTTGGCAGCAAGCTGACGTCGCCCGGAACCAGCCCCCTCAGGAACGATCCCCGCATTCTGTGCTCTCGATCTCAATCGACTAGTAGACGTTGAGAGTGGTTTCAAGAGGGGGCTTCTCGGTAGTTAGAGTTTCCTTAGCCCACTCGAGCACCGCTGAGGGCTAGAAGCCAGCCGGTCAAGGGGGACACAGCAGAATCCTTACCGGACTCGCGGATCACTTGCCTTCACGGCTCTCCGCTGGCAGGTGACCAATGGCATGTCTCGGGGCAACCCAGCCCATGCAAGCTTCGCCTCTTGTCAAACTCAATGTGTGGAGGAGCATGACGAGAGCCCTCGATCCTCCAGGTGCAATGACACCCGATCGTAACTGACATGAGGTAGGGTGGTGGTCTCAGGCCTGAAAGTTTCCGAATCCCGAGCTGCTGGGCCTTCTCATATAGAGTGCGTTGGGACTCTCGGATATGCTTTTTCCTTATAGCAATACTGCCCAACACACCGAACCCAGATCTTCCCTCCCCCTCGTACAACCATGCCTGGCCGCAAGATTTCGAAGCCCGATATACAGGAGTCTCGTTTCGATTATCATGATGATATAGGTGCCACGCTGCAAGAGGCTAGGACGACCGGTGCCGTCTCTATTTCGGCCGAGTTATTCGAGAAGCTCTATCTTGCTCCCAAGACGGATGTCAGCGGCCATTTGAGGAAAACCTTTGGGAATCCGACTCCTATGTGTGTTACCCCATCATTGAATCAAGGCTCCCCATTCCAATGTGTCAAGTGTGGCTGATCCTGTGTACACAATAGTGGTCTCGTTGGATTCCTGCTCGCTTTGACGCCCTTATCATGCGATCTGATGCAGTGGCGAGGCGCTTCTAGCAGTGCTGCGAACGGAATGTGAGTCCTTGTTGACCATAACAACATGGGGTGATCGGCGATGTTGACTCCGTCCAGTCCACAGTTCTTTTTCTTCGGGGGCTTGCTCCAATTCACCACCGGGATCCTCGAGTTCGTGCTCGGGAACACCTTCCCGTCCGTCGTGTTCTGTACATTTGGCGCATTCTTCTTATCCCTCGGGGGTACTCTCAACCCGTCCTTCGCCGCCTTTTCGTCGTTTGCTCCGGTAGGGCAGGATGCGTCCGTTGGTCTTACGACACAGGCTTTCAATGCCGGATTCGGTAAGCTGTCACCGTGGTGATCATTAGTTTGGGTCGTTGTTCCATGTGCTACTGTCGAACCTTTCGGACTGACAGGTGTCGACGCACCTTCGCGTCTGCATAGGCTTCTTCCTTGTTTTCATGGGAGTCGTGTCATTCATCTTCTTCATTTGCGCATTTCGTACGAACGTCTGCTTCGTAATCATCTTCTTGACACTGGTTTTTACCTTCGCCTTGTTGACTGTGGCGTATTGGCTGCTTGCCGAGGACTTGACGGGAAATGCCTCGACAGCCAATGATTTTGTTGTTGTAAGTTTACTCCTGTGTGCCGTAAATGTGCGTACCTGGTCCGAAAGATACGAGACATTTGACAATTACCAGGCCAGTGGAGCGTGTGCTTTCGTTTGCTGCGCGGCAGGCTGGTGGATACTCTTCGCCATTGTGCTCGAGTCTGTCGATTTCCCTTTCCAGCTGCCAGTTGGTGACTTGAGTCGCCTGGTCAAGCCCAGGACCAAGCCTGTACCTGCTCACGTACACCGTGGAGAGGTTTAACCACAGCACGCTTTGCCGGGCTCAGTGTTGCGGAACGTGGCGGAGGTGTAGGACAGTAACAAGTGGAAGATGTACCTAGGTACTTGTCTAGGTTAAATTGAAAGACATAATACGAAATCTCGATTGGGAGCAATACGTGTACTGTACATGCCAATGAATCTAACAATGCTACCTGCCACGGGCTCACCGCATTCCAAATCGACTGCCAGTGAGCTGTTTCTTTCGGGGTCACACGCTTCATCTCATACACGGATTACTGTACTTCAAGACCCACCTACCTACCTGCCTAGCAGTACCCACTAGGCACATCAGAAGCAATGTTTCAACCCGACAGTTGAAGTGCAACAAAGTAAGGAGGGACTGTCGGCATTTCTCGTACTCTAATACACGGTCTGCTCCTGCCTCACACGGCTTCTGATCGTTTTGTTTTTCAGCCCTGGCTTGCCACGGCGACAGGATTAGGCAAGCTCTTTCTGCTTATTCTACGGCCACTTTTTTCCCTTCCTCGAACCACTAGACGGCATTGTTCTTTCTACTTACCTCACACCAATCAGCTTCTCTTTCCTTGCATTCTCCGGACAATTTGACCTATTGTCCCGGGCTAGCTTCCTCCTTCCTGTACCGCCGAGTCACTTCCCTACAAAAGCCCCATCTCAACATTCGTTTCGAATACTAAATACCCTATCTCATTCCACTCGATTCAAGTTTGACATCTGCCCTTGCCGCAACACAGGTTCGTGAAGTACAATTACGGGTTTGCCGAAGGCCCCGGCCTTCGAATTCGACAATCACAGCCACTGTGCTTCGGCACTATTTCACCAAAGACGTCGCATCATACCCAGGCAATCAGTCTTGATACCTAGGTACTTACAGCGTAAGCCACCCAGTCCAGCCTTCCAACTGTTTCCGTGGCCTTCAGCTTGATACCACTTCCCCGACTCTTCACACACCTTCCAGTGCCCCTTCCCCGCCCTTTTCGAAACTGTCGCTTTCGACGGTGGCTACTTCCGCGAACAGCACCGAAACTTGGATTTCGAAGGAGTTAGAAAGCACCTTTCCTTGTGCCCTTGGTTAGGTAACTTTCTGAGACCTTTGAGCCCCCGTACAACTCCCTTCCCAACATCTCACCCTGTTCTCTTCATCCATCAGACACATCTTTGCACTTTATTGTATCGTGATCAAACAGAATTGACAGTTAACAGGCACCAGTCCACCTGCTCAAGAAGTATTTCCCAAAATCAACGCTAAGCACGACGAGATCCGTACTCTTACCACGCCATGTCGCAAAGAAGTGGCGCTGGGTCCGGGAGAGATGGTGGGGGATCCCACGGAGGTGCCGGCGGATCTCAAAGAGCTCATGCGAGTGAACAGCCTCCAAGCAGCGCCTCGGGATCACAGAGGGGTGCTCAAGGACCACCTCCTGTAGGAAGAGTGCAGGGCCCGCTGTACATGTAAGAGATCTCTTGCATCGCCTTCAAAGTATCATCATAACTAACCTTGGTCGTCGTAATCAGACATCCTGGAGGCCAACCTCTGATCATCGATGGCAACGTCCGGCATCTAGAAGATGAGTATGGGAGGTCACCGAATGTCGGCGGCCTGTCTCTGGCGCCAGAACGTTTCCCTAGCCGACCAGGGTTTGGAACGAGGGGCGAAAAGGTCACCGTGTGGGCGAACTACTTCCAACTTTTGGTGGATCCCAGGCTTGTCCTCCAGCAGTACAAAGTTGATATACAGCCTCAAGCCGTGGGTAGGAAGAGAACCCGCATCATCGAGCTGTTTCTGCAGCGGCCTGAGTCTGTCGCCCGCTCCCACACCATCTGCAGCGACTTCAAGTCAACTCTTTTCTCACGTGCACTTCTCGACAACGACTTTACTGCATGCGATATCGTATATCGATCGGAGTTCGAGACTGAACCCGAACCGCGTGCCAAACTATATCATCTGAGGCTGCAGCATACAAGGACGCTGCCGGTTCGCCGCCTCCTCGAGTACCTAACAAGAACCAACATGTCTACCGCCTTCGACGAAAAGGATGCTCTAATCCAGGCATTCAACGTTTTTCTGAACCACTACGCCAGGTCTAACGACAATCTGGTTACCTTCGGAAACAAGACTTTCCCGAAGCAGGTAGCAGGCAGAGATCTGGGCAGTGGCCTGATGGCCATCCGGGGTTTCTTCTCGAGCGTTCGGGCCGCCACAGGTCGTATTCTAGTCAACGTGAACGTCTGCTGCAGTGCGTTCTATCGGCCCGGTCCCTTGACTGCCCTCATGGCAGCACATGGGTTCCAGGACAGGTACAGACTAGAACAGTTCCTCAAAGGAGTCCGAGTGAAGACCTCCCACACAGGGACTCCGCGCATCAGAACAATCCTAGCGCTCGCCTCTCCGAGCGATGGACAAGGCCCGAATGAACAACGACCCAGAGTACCGGAATTTGGAGCCGGTCCAAATCAAGTGTTGTTCTGGGTTCAGCAGCAGAACCGACACGTGACCGTATCAGAGTTCTTCTACACATGTAAGATACAACCCCTTTCAAAGAAGAGTCTAGTGTTATTAATGTCTGGAAACCAAGCCTACGGTATTCGTCTGGATGACAAGAGACTGCCTGTAGTCAATGTCGGCTCGAAGGCCAATCCCGTGTACCTCCCGGCACAGGTTTGCGAAGTCATGGTTGGTCAGAAGGCTGGTGTCAAGCTCGACGCAGAGCAAACCAGCAGAATGATCAGTTACGCTATTCGAAGGCCTGCTCCAGCTCAAAATGCCTTGTCTATTGCTCAGGAGGGGCTCTCCATGGTTGGAATGTCGCGAGACAACCGTTTGCTGGTAAGCCCCGGGGGTTTAAAGCAAAAATGTTTTGTTTGCTAATCAACTTTATCCGACACAGGATCCTTTCCATGTTGAAATTAAACCGAACTTTACGATTATCCCAGCCCGTATTCTGACGAAGCCCCAAGTCGCGTATGGCAACAGAAGATTCGCTACAGTGAATTCGTCCGCTGCCTGGAACCTTCGGGGCCTAGCAATGAGTCGACCTGCGACAATCCCCGCGGGCACATGGGGCTGGCTGTATATCACCATGACCGGATATCCCCCAACATTCCAGACCACGGTACCTCTTCAAGCCGCATTGGACTCCTTCCGGGGGTCACTGCGAGGAACAGGTATCAACATCGGCGAGGCCAGTCCGGGGATCCGGCGACTTCAACTGGGCAATGTGGAAGACCCTGGATTAGAGGAAACGCTTATATTGGCTCTCCGAAGCCTCCGCCTACTTTACATCATCCTGCCAGTCAAGCACACCGCCCTTTACAACCGGATCAAACATATCTGCGACGTCAAGATTGGACTTGTCAACATATGTTCGGTTGGAAACAAGCTCGTGGACTCAACCGGCCGACCGCAGTACTTCGCCAACATAGCGCTCAAGTTCAACCTGAAAGGTGGAGGCGACAATCAGCTTATCCATCCATCACGCCTTCATTTTGTCTCCCGAGGCGATACAATGATTGTGGGTATTGACGTGACACACCCGGATCCAAATTCAAGCAATTGGGCGCCCAGCATTGCTGCTATGGTCGCCAGCATCAACGCAAGCCTCGCTCAATGGCCAGCCACATCGTCTGTTCAGAGAAGAAGACGCCAAGAGATGGTCGATAGTCTCAAGGACATGCTTAAGCGTCACTTGAATCTCTGGAAGACTGAGGGAAGACACACCATGTTCCCCAGGAACATCCTGGTCTACCGGGATGGTGTTTCTGACGGTCAGCATCAAATGGTCAAAGACTATGAACTGCCACTTCTCCGACGGGCCTGCGAGGAGATGTATGATTCTGTAGGTCAGGAACGCCCTCGAATCACTGTCGTTGTGGTGACCAAGCGCCATCACACACGTTTCGGGCCCACGACAGAGGGTAAGGCTGATGGCAACGGCAACTGTCTCGCCGGAACTGTCACCGACCGTGGAATCACTGAGGCCCATCAGTGGGACTTCTGGATTCGTAAGTCTGCATCTGTTTCGTTTTGGTCTGTTCTTTTGCTCAACAGCACTGACATGGGCATGTAGAGGCCCACTCTGCCATCCAGGGACATGCTAGGCCAGCTCACTATGTTGTGGTTCACGATGAAATCTTCCGCGCCGCTCCACGTGCACAAGGCTACAACGTAGCAGACACTCTCGAAGATGTGACGCAAAGCCTGCACTACGTCTTTGGGCGATGCACAAGGGCTGTTTCATACTGCACTCCGGCATACTACGCAGACCTTGCCTGTGACCGCGCCCGACGCTACCTGAGCAACTTATTCGATCCGTCTTCGCACTCGGACACAGCCTCCCTGATCAGTGAATTGGCTCAAGAAGACGATGATGGACGGCAAGCTCGGCTACAACCGCTTATCACCCCTCATCCCCGGGTGAGCAACAAAATGTACTATATCTAGGTGGCGTATGGCGTCACGACGGCGACGAGGAATTAGGGGATGATGCGATAGGTGACGGATGATGGAGGGAGACACCATTGAAGTCCTTCCTCTATAGTTTCTGCCCTATCATATCTGTGTACTTTACCTGGCACTCTCCACTCAACCACAACGAAAGACAAAATATATTTTACTTAAATGATGCACGTATGATATCTGTGAATGTGTTGCCAACAGGACGGCTGAGAAGGTATAGAGCAAGGCATGTTACCTTGACATCCGGAGCCTTGACCTGTGCAGGCTACTCCCATTGGGCGTCGGCTGCTTGACACTTGGGAGTCCGATGGCAAGATCCCGCGTTGAATAGCGGCAAATTCTCACAAAAGAATCTGTGCACACGGGCCCTCTAGCTGAGTGAAATTTCCATGTCGTCAGTTCTCACCAGTATGGTGAGCATAGTACTTTCTCAGGACGCAGTCGATCATTATGATCTTAGCGGCCAGGGGAGCTGGTTTTGGCAGCACTGTCTCTTTCGCTGTAGTCCTGCGTCTCAACTGAGCAATCATGCTTGTGTGTCTGGCATGGTGCCTCGTGTTCTGTCTTCTTTGCCATTAGCATGGCTTTACTAAGGCTGTCCCAGCAGAAGCACTTGAGGGTAGGCAACTCTTTCATTGATCTGCTTTCAAGATGCCATGCTACTTCCTTCACCAGCTAGGAACACTTTATCTATTAATTCAAGCTAGGGTCAAATTATGCTGCACGCTTTCGCTTAGTGTCAAGATCGGCGTTTCTTTGCCTGTCATACTCTTTGCATGTGCCATTGCGATCCGGCCCGCCCGCTTGCCGGGCCTGTGGCGAGCTACGTTGAGCTACGTTGTAGATCTGGTGGATCTCTTACCTCATCCGCGTCACTCTGAGTATTTTAAGACTATCTTGGACATTGTCTCTTTGCTCTTGAGAATTTAGATATTTGTCGTATTTTGTGCAATCACCAAAGGCTTTGTCTGGCCCACATTACGTAGATCTCCAGCAATTTAGACGAAACTTGAAGATCCTCGTGAGTTAGGCACTAAATTCAGCGTGGCTATCACCCTGAATTTGGCGCAGAATACTATTTATTTCATTGAAAGCAGCGGCGGGTGATGTCTTGAGGCAATACCGGAGCTATCAACAGAGCCGTGGCCTGGAACTCGAGAGGCACCGACAGAGGTCTCCGTTCGTCTACACAAAGCGCTTGTTCCGGCTTCTGGACTGTCACATAGGTCACTGAAATGTGACACCTCAAGAGTAGGAACACAGAGACGTAGTAAGGTTGACATGTCATAGATAGGAAGCCAGGAAGGGCGCTCGTAATGCCCGTGTAAGGTGAGATTGCCAAGTCAAGCATCCACGTGCTTGATCTTACTCATGCCTCCATCAACGACAATCTCCTGTCCTGTCACAAAACCAGCGCCCATGAGCCACTCAATCGTCTCGGCGACGTCCTCACCATAGCCAATGCGACCTGTTGGGTGCTTTCGATGCCGCTCGGCGGGGACTCCCTTTGCCCACCACTGGGAGCCGTCGACTTCATCCGCTTTCTTGTTTTCATGCTCAACATAGATGTAGCCCGGGAGAATGGCATTGACCCTGATTCCCCACTGGGCACCTGAAATAGACATGGCTTGAGTGAGGCCCAGGATTCCGCCCTTTGACGCTGCATATCCTTCGCAGTTGGGTTCTGACTGCCGAGCACGGAATGAGGCGATGTTGATGATGCTGGGGCCCTGCTTGGCACGGCCCGAGAAGCCGCTCCGTTGGCTTTCCGTGAGTTGGTCTGCAGCTGCATGAGCAGCCTCTGGTCTGATGACGGAGTCCACGTGCTCCTTCCGCCCGTCGTCTTCGATTGTCATGTACGGTATACAGGCCTGGCTGACGAGAAAGGGTGCAGTGAGGTTGGTCTCCATGTAAGCCTGCCATTCGTCGAAAACCGAGGGGTCTGCCATGCTGCGCCCCTGGCTAAACTGGGCCCTCGCTATGCCGGCATTGTTGACCAGAACATCAATTCGTCCACCCAAGTAGTCAGCCGCGGCCTTGATTGTTGATTTGATGGCTGCAGGGTCTCGCAAGTCGCAAGCGCCGTGGCCGACACCAATTGGGGCCTTGTTGCCGTTGACCAGGCCGGTCAATGCTCCTGGGATATGCGTGTTCGCCGTGTATGAGAGCTCCTCGACGTCAATGTCAATCAGGAACAGTCTGTGGCCCAAGAGCGCCAGATGGCGAGCAGTTGCACGTCCAATTCCCCGAGCGGCCCCCGTGATGACGATGTTCTTCTTCTCCGACATGTCGGCTTGGCGTTTTGAGGTGTGGGTTGGATGCCGCGAACTTTTTTGGTTTTCCCAGATTCAAGCTCGTGCACGCTCATTTATGGTCCGCGGTCTCTCCGAAGACAACACAATCAAGTGTCCAGGTGATGCGCAAATCAGCCTTAATAACAGCCTAAAAAAGGCTCCGTCTGCGAGAGGAGCAACCTGCATCCTACGTCACACAGAAGACGGCGAGCCGGACCTCAAACTCCGCGTTGACCACAACGGAACTAGCGCCGCGAACACGGATGGCCATACCGGCACAGCGCGTCAAATAGCGACTGGTCTCATTCAGGGTGCCAATATATTGTGCATGGGCATATATCCCCTAGCTATCACTATAAATAGCCCCTGCAAAGCAGCATCCCCAACACAGATGTGAGGAGCGCCACTTCTGTCCAGCATTAGATGTTTACACAGGCCTGGTGAGGAGGGCAGGGGTATGGAGATGGGCCCAAAATCTCTGTCGCCGCCGGTATAACCCTCAGAGAAGATTAATTAAGTACAAGTAGTCTGTCCCTTGTCTTCTTCAACAAAGAATTGACAGACTGGAATTATTGAGAGCCATGGTTACCGCCAGCCAGATTCCCTCCCGAATTCCAAGAATATTACCACCAGACACACACTAGTATCTATAACCCAAACGCCTTCAATGTTGGTATTTTGATGACGGCTCTCAACTGCGATTCAAAATCCTCTTGAAAAAGCTCTTCTTCGTCTTGGGTGGGTCGATGCCCAGGTCTGCTAAGTCGGACTTGTGGCGGCTGTCTTCGCGCTCCCTTATATCTCGTTTGCGCTTGCGGTCGGCGCGTATGACCTTGTAGAAGGCCTCTTCGACGTTGGTCCGGGTCTTTGCGCTGGTCTCGATGAAGCCGCAGCCCAGCTTCTTGGCCAGCATCCTCCCTTCGCTGATGCCCACGGTCCTCTTGTGGTCCAGATCTGACTTGTTCCCGACCAGGACGACGAGAGAGGCGTCGAAGCCACCCGGCGCGGAGTACCTCTCCTTCGTGCTCAAGACTTGCTCGAACACCTTCTGCACGGCCTCGAAACTGGGGCGATATGTGACGCTGTAGACGATCAGGAAGAGCTCGCTGTCGCGTATCCATTGTTCCCGCAGCGCGGTGAACTCTTCCTGCCCGGCCGTGTCGAGGATCTCCAACAGGCATGCTTCGTCATCGACGACGCACTGTCTCCTGTACGAGTCCTCTAGTGTGGGGTCGTACTCCTCAACGAAATGTTGGTGCGACATCTAGATCGATGAGCAAAGGTGGCCTACGCTTGGAGGGAGCTCGTGCGATCGGGGACTTACCTGGATGGTCAGGGAGGTCTTGCCAACGCCGCCCTCGCCGAGGACGGCTATTTTGACCATGGACATCTTGTTCGCCATGATTAATCGATCTGACCGATACTCGGGGGGTCCCTATAATAGACTCTGACTGGGTTTGGGCGCATGAGTAGTGGTGACAGGCAGGGGAATGTTACCGCAGCATCTAGTTGCAGAAAAGAAACAGAGAGCGAAGGATTCATTTCTGCACGCTCGGAATTAGCCCCTGATCCTCGCAGGGCCGGGGACGCGGTGGTTGATTCCAGCCAATCGCTTAGGGACCGGTTGATCAGCATGGAGGTTCGCAAATCTCCTGTTGCTAGCTGTGATCAGTAATTTCTGGGTCTCGATTTGGACCCTGGGGCGGACCGTCCCCTCGGGACAAAAATTGGGGCGGCCACGTGCCATCCCCTATTCCATGAACTGAAACTTTGAATTGTGCATCGGATAGGAAGCAGATTTGCCTCTTGCGGTCAAGCTTGATGAGCTTTGGTTGGCGTCATGCTAGTCATTGGTGGATTCCAACTTTATTACAAGAATCGAACATGATCAAGCGTTACCCTGCGAGATCTACAGGATTCACCCAGGATGGAACATTGAAACGTGTCTTCGGCCCGTGGTCCCTTGGATGTTTTCACATGTCTGGATAACGAAATTGGTTAAGAGCATAGAGTCATTCAGAGATCACTTTTACGTATCTCCAACCTCGTAGTAAAATCGGGCAAGAATTGGCCGTTCAGCATTGTGGGTACCCAACCCAATTTATCCGGATCAACCGGGCATCCGCAGGTCAATTATCACACGAATCACGAGTTAGCATCCTCTACATTTGTAATAAAGGTAATCGATTGAACCCGGTGTGGGACCCAAGCTTGGCTGCTATTTCAACATGGCCCGTGGACTTTAGTTCTTGAACAAGCCATGTGATGGTGATCTTCATATTTTGCAGATCCACTTTGGAATGCACAACGGTTTTATCGGTACATTGAAATTGCTCCTACCGTCCTGTCAGCATTGACTAAATCAAGGCAGGCAAAATACAAACTTCCTTTGAAGTGCCAAATGGAACTGGTATCTGTGTGTCTCCCTTCATATTAGAGTGTGTTTGAAGTAGACCAGAGCATCACATTGATGCCTGAGACTCAATGATAAGTAGCTACTGCAGGACGGTATTCACTCCGCATGTGCATATCAGTGGCCTGTGTGGATTCCTTTCGGGGCCGGAACTCAAGCCGAACCTGGTAAGGCAAACCAGAGCGATTGGAATCTTTCTTATTGTCCTTGACACATCATGACGGGTCCAGTATAGTAAGGCTAAGTGGGCTGTGAGGGAGATTCAGGTTGGGGCTGAGGCAAATAATGAAGAACAAATCAATACAAATTGAGGCTTCTAGAGCCTTCTGTGGAATGGGGCACATACCGGATAGCGGTCCCTCCTAAATCGGTGCCAACTGCTTAAATGAGTTAAGAACACCTGGAATAAGCACAGAATTGATTTGAGATTACTCCACTGGGCCATACAGAGCTAGATATGGTGCCAGGTATGCACGGCCGGCGTCACTCACAGATGATTGTAGCACACCAGCTTTTACCATCTAGATTCCAATTCGAAAGTTTGGCATTACACAAACGTCGTATCATTACCACATTGCATTTATAGTCCTTATATATTTGCTTGAATTGAGGCTCTAGATGTCCTGTACAATATAGGTACACAGGTTTGTACTAGATCAAAATCTGGAATGAGAATAAATAGGGTTTCCCTCATTGATCTTCCCACATTTCTTTTTGTAGACAATGTGTGTTTACCCACATCCACAACTGTCTGTAGGCTAAGCTTAATGAGTGTGGTGTTGGATGCACTGTACACATTGTGTGGTCTGGGAACACCTTACCGAAACCGAGAAGTAGACATCAGAGTTTTGTCATAAGAGGGAAACACATTGCTCCTCTAAAGTCCTTCGAATCCCATACATAGTGCACCCTCAATGCGGATTTGTGATATCAGTGAGGCTCTAGAAAAGCATAGTTGCACCCACCACCCATCAAATCATGACACCCACTGGGATACCACTCTGATGGTACACGCGACCTCTGTTGGTAAACCAAGACTGGCATTCCCGAGAAAGTGGGCCAGTTTTGGGTACAGGAGGAGAGTGCTGCAAAATCAGATGCCACCGCAGGCAGCATCACCAGACTTTTTGTGATCGATATCAAATATGCTGTGTTGAGATGCGAAAATGATCCAAAATCGAGCCATGGACATGGACTTTCCAGCACACTGACCCAGGCCCAGCAAGGCATCACAAGACTGATCAGCAGCGTTGAGAGCCGGTGCGGGATTGTATCCACGAGCATGCCTCTCAGCGCCACTTCTATTTCATGGGTCGGCCTTTCCGATGTTCTGATGGGGTTCTTTTGATGAACTGGACCCTTTCTCAATGTCTCTTTGGAGAGTCTAATGGATCGTCTTCAGGGAGTGACCGATAGAACTTTGATGGAACATTCCCTTCTGGCATTAATCAGAAAAGAGCCCCAGATTTTGGGTGCTACGCAGCTCATCTCGGTCAAGCTCTGATGGCCTTGAAACTGCGGTGATTATAACGAGCATTCTGGCATCTGGACAAGATCCACCGTCCCCCACAGTCTAGAATGCCCACATATGCACGTGGAATGTCTCGATGAACGTGTCTCCACTGCGGTTGCACACCGAGTGGGCTCTGACTGCCTGATTATGCATGGCATGCATGATACATGTGAGGACGTCCACTGGCACTTATGTTCTTGCGGATCCTGACTTGCGCAAGACGAGCTTTCCAACGCACAATGTGATTGTTCAGAGCCTTGGCTGCTTAGAGTGCATCATTTTGGTTGGCGCACCACATATCGAGGAGGCGGGCGATGGAGCTGTTGCCGCCGACCTTGACTCACCACAATGAATAGTTGCGGGTCCGTCGACACTCTGCACCACATCACGACCACACTAGTAGAAGAGATAGTAAATAGCCACAGTTATAGACGGTATGCAATGCTCTCTCTCATCGTTGTTGAACTCAGGGGGTGGCGCCGAGCCAGGCGTGGCTCGAGGGCAGGGATCGGAGTGGCAGAGTGGCTGCGTCGGAGAAGCAAGGTGAGCCCGACACAGCATTGTCAGCTGTCTCGAATCCAAGACAGCGATATTAGACAGGACGATTCAAGGTTTCATCAGAGACAAGAAAACGGGTTGCACATTTCTCTGCAGGGTGGCCAAGTGCGAGTGATACAAGACTGCACCCAGGGTTGTGCACCCAGGGTTGGAGTCGGGATGCTGGGCATCGCCGCTGTTGCATCCCGAGGCCGCGGTATCGCCAGCTGACGGCGTGAGAGTGGTGTGGTCGGTAGCTCGACGGCTCGCGGGCTCGGGACTCTGCTGCCGAGGACAACTGGTCCTGAGCTGCCGTGGCTGCTGCACAGACGGGCTGGGCGGCAAGACGGGACCAGCCTGACAGCTCCATTCTGGGCTCTTGGCAGTACCTGAGGCAGCTCATGGTTCACGAGCTGTTGCCAAACTCAATCGGAACCAACGGGACAGGGCTGAACATGTAAAGCTCCTGCCCCAGGGAACTCGGCACACCGTATCCACGGGCTCTTGGGGCTGCCCTTGATATGCCAATACGGACACATACGGCACTGTCTGGGGCAGTGGGAGGATGTTGACTTACAGTAGCGTGTCATCAGCCACACTGGGGCAGCTGTCCTCTGCATCTTGGCGACTCGAAGAGGGGGGAGGGGCGAGTGGAACGAAGAGGAGTCTTCATGTCGGTCACCAAGGCAAATGGAGGGGTAAGTTTGCGTGACAGAACAACTCTTATTAGAATTCCGATAATCTGATAGTTGGAAGCTTGTTGCTGTGACTTCGACTCCGGGGCAACTCCTGTTGCAACTCAATGCACGCAATCAGTTGGACTGGTCTGTTCTAGACTGTGCCTGTGCTGTAGGACCGGGGCCAGGACACACTGGAATCCCCCCATCCCCACCCCCCATTCTTCACCAAATTGCCCGTCCCCATCGTGATTTCAGCGCGTATTCTGTGCCTCTCGGTCGTTGGTAACAGACACTACCGTCCAACGACACCGCAAAGCGAATCATGTTCCATGCCATCCGCCTTGGTGACGAAGGGCAACCTTCATCGAGGTGGCTGAGCCCTGTGAAAACTGCCTTGGTCTGTCTGCTGGCTCCTACCGTGTGTGGTGCAAATGCAAATGCAGACAACACAACGCGCCGGGCGTCCGTCGGTGTAGCGATACCATCCCCTGACTAGTCCCTGTTAGTACTCCTTGTCGAAGATCTGGCATCGATCGCCCAGGTGGGCCAGAAATGGAGTGGAAGCAGCGGGTTTCATGTGCCTCGGCAGGATTGAACACCGTTCAGGTGGCCAGTAACCTGGCTGACACTAACAGCAATCTCCAAAAGGGGGGTACTGGCTACCTAGGTACCAGAGAGACAGCCCGACAGCCAGGAGCACAAGACACTGGCCAAGCTGCCCCGTTAGCTCCGTCTACCCTGGCAACCTTATGTAGGTACTGTGCGGTGCGGTAGGTACGGGCTACCACCTACAAGCACAAACGGCAGGTGTGACGTTGTTGCTCCTTGGTCTTGGCATAGACCGTCCCGTTCGTCCCTCAGCTCTGGTCTCTGGAACTAAAGCCATCTCCTTCTCTCTGGCGACGTGAGCCTCTTGTCCCCCAAACCCACTCCTCCCGCCCCGTGCGTTCCTCTCCGTCATCCGCAGAATCCACCCTCCTCTCCTGCACCCTCCTTCCTTCTCGCACTGCCATGGCGAGGCCTTGAGGCGAATTGAAACATTCGAAGCCCTACACGCCTTGATGGTCGGAGTCAGCGGCAGCCAGATCTGACGCAGCTGCGGATGCACACGCGGACCACGCAGATGCACCACGCAGCCACAGACCTGGTCCCAGCCCCGACCCAGTCCGTCCCATCTCGCTCTGTCTTTGCCTAAAACTGGTCAGATAGATGTCTTGAAATTGCCCAATTTATTGCTCCACTGCTTCTTTGGTCTGTGCTACCAGCTGTTAAGACACGCAATTGGAACCCATCAGGTAAGCAGGGCACGCCTCAAACCCTCCCCCTGGGCCGCCTCGCGACCACCATGTCATGGCCATCACTCGTCACTGACAACCTTAGATATGCAGTAGAATTCAAGATTCGACCTCGTCCCCACAGGTATCCCATACGGATCACGACTTCCAGAGCATCACCTCTCTCACACCTCCTCACCGTCGGCTTCGACAATAATACCGCAAACCCGAAGCTTCCCCCACCTTTGACGTCAAGACCGGCTCTCCCTGGAGCTATCCCTGCACGCCACTCCCGACGAGGACATCACCCAATTACTATCCACTACACCCTCGAGAGACGACGGAACCTCCATTCCATCCTCCTCGAACGCAGCCGTTTCGCCGAGTATTACGAGTGTTGAATATGGTCAGAAGCATCATACCACAACGTCTAAAATCATCATCACGCTTAAACGCCGGCTCAGCCGCAAGTAGTCGTAACGCCAGCCCAATGAGGAACAAAGGAGATTCAGCAAGCCCCGAGGGGCGTAGGGAGACGGGCTTGATGCTTAACACTGTAATTCTGAAGGTAAACGACCATCGTGCTTGACCCTCAGGTTCACTCCTGCTACTTTCACGTTGGACACGTCTAACCCGCGTATGTTAGGCACGAAATCTCGCCGCAGCGGATCGAGGTGGTACCTCTGATCCAGTAAGCCTAGTTCTCTTCTCCCTGGACGACAGAGATAAGGAAGTAGACTGACCGTTGCCCGCAGTACCTCGTCTTGACCCTCGGTGAAAACAGGCACCAAACCCACTCTGTGTCTAAGACGCTTAACCCGCACTGGAACGAACAATGCGAGTTCTACGTGAACGAGACACGGCACCTGCTCCTCGATATCATCTGCTGGGACAAGGACAGATTTGGAAAGGACTATCTGGGCGAGTTTGATCTCGCTCTCGAGGAGATCTTCGCCGACGGCCACTACGAGCAGGAGCCGAAATGGTTTCCTCTGAAGAACAAGAGGACGGGTAAGAAGGCCACCAAAGTCTCCGGCGAGGTTCTGTTGCAATTCACTCTTTATGATGCTGCGAACCCAAATGCTACCGACGCCGAAATTGCTGCCAAGTTCACGGCTCTTACCAGCGCGGTTCCTGAGGCCGACCCCACGTCCAAGAACCCAACGCCATCCCGCACGCCAGTTTTGGCTCCCACTAAGCCGAGCACCTCTCCGTCTCCACCCATCAGCCGAAGGCCAACAGAGGATGTTAGCGACGACGATGACGCTGAGTATGACATTTACGATGACGAAACACCCGAAGAGGAAGACCCATCAAAGCCCGAAAGTGTCGAAAAGCGCAAACGACGGCTCCGAATCAAGGGCTTGAAGCGCAAGAAGCGCGACAACCCCTATGAGTTCACCAATGGAGATCGTAGCGACGTTGTCGGCATCATATTCCTGGAGGTTGTCAAGATCACCGACCTTCCCCCGGAATCGAACTTCACGAAGACCGGTTTCGACATGGATCCTTTCGTGGTCGCGTCTCTGGGCAAGAAGACATACCGGACTAAGGTCGTTCGACACAACTTAAACCCAGTCTTCAATGAGAAGATGATATTCAACGTACTTGGCCATGAGCAGACCTACTCTTTCGCATTCACCGTCATCGACAGGGATCGCTATACGGGCAATGACTTCATTGCATCCACGTCTCTTCCTCTCAAGGAACTCATGGAGACGGCCCCTACTGCTGATCCAGAAACTGGTCTTTACAGGCTCAGAGAGCCACCAGAGTTTGTGCAACCAGACAGCTCTTCGCAGAAGTCTCGTTTCAAGGCTGGGCATGTCACGGTCGAACTCTCAGCAGAGCCTTGCGAAATCTTCCCGGCCAGCTCTGAGCAAAAACCCTTCCCAAATGTCCCAGGTCCCTTCCGTCCCGGGCGACGGCGCGGTGGAAACAACACAGCTACCTGTTCCTAACCCTGGACTTTTGGCGCCTGTCGACCAAACCGCTGCTGGGCCTGCGGTAGAGGCGGCTACAGATGGCGAAGATCCTGACTTTGTCCTGTTTGACGTGCCCTTGAAGATGAAGAATCTGGAGAAGTGGGAGGCGAAGCATAATCCAGTGCTTACTCTCAGGGCCAAATACATGCCCTACCCAGCCTTGCGGCAACAATTTTGGAGATCTATGCTCAAGCAGTATGATACTGACGAGAATGGGAGCATCAGCAAGGTTGAACTGACAACCATGTTGGACACCCTCGGCTCGACACTGCGAGACTCTACCATTGACAGCTTCTTCAAGCGCTTCCCACATGCTGCTAACAGCGGTGAAAGCGATCTGACCACCGATGAGGCCGTTATCTGTTTGGAAGATCAGCTTCTGTCCAAGCCGAAGCCATCAATGACTGATCGCCTCAAGGACAGATTGCCCGATTTCGCAAAAGGGCAGTCTTCTGGAAAGGAGCCAGCTCCTAGTGAGGTAGCTCCTGGGCCTGAAACAGCACCTAGCAGTCAGACATCCGCGTCTACCATCACGGTTCCGAAGTTTTCCACTCCAGGCGAAGAAGGCGAAGTTTTAGCCGAGAGAGATGATCTCAATGACCGCGGAGAAGAGCATGTGGTTGAGATTAGGGAATGCCCCATCTGCCACCAGCCTCGTTTGAACAAGCGGACTGATTCGGACATTATCACTCACATAGCTACCTGCGCCAGCCAGGATTGGCGCCAAGTCAACAATCTTGTGATGGCTGGATTCGTGACCGCCAGCCAGGCGCAGAGGAAGTGGTACTCCAAGGTCATCACCAAGATTTCATATGGAGGCTACAAGCTCGGCGCAAATTCTGCCAACATTCTTGTCCAGGATCGCATAACAGGACAGATAAGTGAAGAGAAGATGAGCGTGTACGTGAGACTCGGTATCCGGCTGCTCTACAAGGGACTGAAGTCGAACAACATGGAGAACAAGAGGAGTAAGTTCCTTTCACAAATGCTGCGCACAAGGTCTCCCTACTAACATGTCACAAGTCCGCAAACTACTCAAGAGCCTCAGCATCAAGCAGGGCAAGAAGTACGACGACCCAGAGTCCAAGGCCGAAATTGAGGGCTTCATTGAATTCCACAAGCTCGACATGTCTGAAGTCCTCCTTCCGCTGGAGCAATTCAAGAACTTCAACGAATTCTTCTACCGAGCCCTCAAGCCAGGCGCCCGACCATGTTCTGCACCCGAAAACCCTCATATCATCGTGTCGCCTGCAGATTGCCGTTCGGTGGTTTTCAACCGTGTCGACGTTGCCACCGGTGTGTGGATCAAGGGTCGCGAGTTCTCGATCAAGAGACTGCTTGGAGACGCATACCCCGAGGATGCGGCACGGTATGAAAACGGGGGCGGACTGGGTATCTTCCGCCTTGCGCCGCAGGACTACCATCGGTTCCACATTCCCGTGGACGGTATCATGGGCAAGCCCAAGCTCATCGAAGGTGAATACTACACGGTCAACCCAATGGCCATCCGCTCCGCGCTGGATGTCTATGGTGAGAACGTCCGTGTCATCGTGCCGATCGACAGCGAGAAACACGGCCGCGTCATGGTCATCTGTGTGGGTGCCATGATGGTCGGCAGCACCGTGATCACCAGGCAAGAAGGCGAGCGCGTGAAAAGGGCCGAAGAGCTTGGCTACTTCAAGTTCGGCGGCAGCACCATTGTTCTGCTCTTCGAAGAGGGCAAGATGGTGTTTGATGGTGACTTGGTGGACAACTCGAATGGCGCCCTCGAGACCTTGGTAGGTTGTTGACTGTCCTATGTGATTTCTTTGAGAGCTAACATGGAGGCAGATTCGTGTGGGCATGTCTGTGGGCCACTCACCCAACGAGTCACAGTGGGCACCCGACATGCGGAAGGACGAGAAGGACATCACGGAACAGGACAAGTGGGAGGCCAAGAGACGCATTCAGGGCAACTACCACCTGGAGGACGACAGCGACGAGTCACCTCCTGCTAGCCAGTTTGCCGGGCAAGGCTCGGGCTAGGTGCTACCTTGGCCATGCAATTGGGCCGGTCCAGACGCACTGACAAAACTGTGGAAGACGGCGAAAAGCAACGTTAGTCGTCGGTCTGGGGTCAAGCGAGAGCATATGTGATTGCGTCATTCAGCGAACACGAGGTCGCGTTGACCGCTGCTGGGGAATGGATGGGGATGGCCTCATCCTTTCCTCAGCCATGTTTACAACAGTCATGAATGTAAATGATCAAAGAAATACGTGGCATTTTATCTATACACAGTCTTGCACCATTACAGAGCAGCCCGTTCTGGCGGTCCCGCCGCTGTCGCATTCATCCCAGGTTTCAAAGGCCCGGTCGACGACCGGGAGGTGGGAGAGAAAGTGGATCTGATCCTGACACGGGGCATGACAGGCAGCCAGGAAGTTCCCGAACCGAGTCGGCGATGTTGTCTCCCCAAGCAGTCCTTCAGCTGGGCCAGGCTGCTGCTACCTGTCCTGTCTGTCAGCTCTGCAGTGCAGAACGTAGGACTGGGACTGGAGAATCTCTGCTGCCATGCCGCCCTCTCCCGCTCATTCGACGCCTGGGACTTGTTCGGTGACTGCCACCACGAGGTGACTCGGAGATCGAATAGTGCTTACGAAATACGTGAGAGTGATACCGTGCCCGAATATAGTCGTCATATGTGATTTGCCAATTCACACCGCGTTGGTCGTCCGTCTGAGGGGGATCATGCTTCTCTCGGAGAAGATATAAAAAGAAGCAAGCGGTTCATCTCAAAATTCTGTTAGTGCATGGATTCCCCCCCCCCCCACCCCCCACCTTGCCTGGCACTGGAGAACTCCACCTGCATGGGTGGGTGCTGTGTGGCCAACGATCAGAGCACTGGGGAATGACGGGAACCGTTGTGCCACAGAATGCACTAGCGCACAGGTCTGTCTCGAGCTCGAGAATTCGTCATTGTCCTCGGGGGTCTCCTCGGCAGCCTTGCTAGGCGGGAGTGGTGAGTCTGAGCCCGCACGGGCGAATGCAGGCAGATGAGCAGCCCTCACGACGATGCCTGCGATATCTGCACTAGTACTTGCTCGTTCGGGCCACGGAGATCTATGTGGTACATCGACTATCTACATCCAATCCTGACGCACACGTGTCTGAGGGGAGAGGTACGAGACGGCAGATATCTGAAGACAAATATCTAGATGGTGTGCACCCAAAGGCACGGGCCGCAACTATGTATACTCCCTTGCTTACATGGATGAGATGGGTTGAAAGAATCGCTGGGGAAAGGGGGGGGGGTGAGAGGGTGTCACAGTTAAGTAATCCCATGGCCGCAGTGAGAAAGGGCCCGTCCTCATTCCAAAAAGAACGTTTTTAGGTTCCGACTGACTCGACCTCATCATCAAACTCCCAGGCCCGACAGCTGAACGGCTACTCGGCTGCGCGGCTCTCCCGCCTCCCACAGCGTGCCTATCATCTGTCTCTTTTCCCCGGGATACGAAAGGATCGCTCGACTTAACACTGGGTCTGGAGCGTCCTTTTTCGGGACTCTCGGGCTGAAGCCGTCTCACACCAGTCACCGCACGCAGGCTCAGCTTGGCTGCCTTTGCTACCTCTCACGAGGCGCCATGCAGGCGGACTTGGTGCGACAGCCTCGAAGGAGCGTCATGATGGGACACGTACGAAATTTCCTATGACCAACGGCAACTGCAGCACCGTGGCCCATGGCCCAATGGCCCGTGGGTCCCCTTCTTCCCACCGTGTCACGAGTCCCCCGTCGCCTCTTGTGCCCCGTACGCCATGCGGATACCCACATCGCAGTCCCCAATGAGGCTGAGAAGATTGGGTTCACAAGAGGTTGACTCGGGCGACACAAGGCCTAAACCCGCGTCCCCCTGGTGGTGGGAATGCCTGGTGAGCCTGGGAGAGATCTTTTCCTTTCTCTTCTCTGGGCATCGGACCAGGACGCGGGACAAGAGAGAGAGGTGACAGCGGCACCCCCTCCTCCCCCTTGGTGAGTCCGTTGCTGCGAGTAATCCATGCTGTCGATCGCTAGGGCGTCCACAGAAACAGATCCTACTGGGTCGATGACATGGGCTGTCGCTCTTGCGTAATACTCGTGGGTGTGTGAGGCGAGACTCACTCTTTTCTTTTTCTGTTTTCCATGTTTCTTCAGTCCATCTCTAGTCCTCCGACTATGGGCGAGTAGCTCCCCTGGACTATAGACGTTCGTTTTCTTCTAAGTTCCCTGTCTCATCTTGACCCATCCCTTCGGTCAAGGAGAGCCTCTGGCTCTATTACATTCCTTTTCCTACCCTTAGTCATTCATTCTTTCCACCGGCTCGTCAGCCCTTTCCTGTTGGTTATAACCAGCGTTCGATCGTTTAATTCAAAATGAGTGGAGGCATGAAGAGGTCTGCGTCGGTCAAGGTGCAGAAGGATGTGATCATCCCCCAGAGACTCTTGTCCGTCTCAAGGAGAGGGGACGACTTCCCGTCATTCTCGAACACGCCCCATATCCGTCACCGAAGACAGCCCTCTCGCATACATAATGGCTTCGTGCCTAGTGGGTCTCACCATCAACAGCACCAGGACCAGGATGACGATACGTACGGACCAGTCCAGCAGGTCCTAGATGAATATAGGCGACGGTCATTCTTACCACCTTCGGACAAGAGGACGTCATGGCAGGATACCCAAACATCAGGGAGGCCCAGGAAAACCAGTGACCCGGTGACGAATCACGACCGACGCTCCGTCCACCAATCTGTCTACCTGGAAAAGGCCGCGGACAAGGACGTCGAAGCTGGGATATCACACGGGAGAGACACAGAGGCCTTCCCCGACTTCCACCCGAGGCCCATACCTCAGCATAGGTTCCCGCTGCAGGACCGCTCCTCAGATGCTATATCGTCGGTCTGGGGAGACGAGGACTCGTCGACATACAGCCCACAGGATGTGCCCAGGCGCAATAATACGGTACGGAGGGTCGTAGATGCTGTGGTGCCGGACAAGGTGCAGGAAACGGCGCGGAACGTCATCGGTCGCGCACGTCGAAGTTCCATGGCTGAGGTTTATGAGAAGGCCAAGGCCAGGGGTGTCGAGCTTCAACGGAAGCGGTGGGTGGAGGTCCTGTTCGAGTGGACCATCTACACGATCTTGATCTGCTTTATCTACTTTGTCCTGATCGGCATGCCTCTCTGGAACGGGGCAGTGTATTGGATGTATTGGTTAATATCGACCAAGTTTGTCGTCGCGGGGGGTTGGTCCATCACCATCGCCATCGCCGCGTTTTACTCGTTCGCTCCCCTCCTCATCTTCTTCGAGAGGGAGCCCCCAGTCGTCGACCGCCCGGATGATTTTGACCGGACCGCGATACCAGGTGTCGCCACTACGGCCCTTCTCATCCCCTGCTACAAATCCGCAAACCTCGTCGGCGCTACCCTCGAAGCAGCGCTGAAGGTTTTCCCTGCCTCGCACATCTTCGTCATCGCGAACGGCAACTCCGAGACACCCCTCGACAATACCGAGGAGATCTGCATTCCTTACGGCGTCAACCACATCTGGTGTCCGGTCGGCTCCAAGATCGTCGCACAGTTCGTGGGGTGCTACGCCGCCAAGGGCTTCAAGAACGTCCTGCTCATCGACGACGACTGCGCGCTGCCCCCAAACTTCCCCGTCGTGTCAGAGCGCCTCACGGACAAGGTGCGCTCGATCGGCTACACCATCAAGAGTGTCGGACCCGAGTCTTCCAAGGGCACCTACTGCCAGCAGGCCCAGGACTTGGAGTACAAGATTTCGGGTCTCCAGCGTGCCTTGGCCGGCAAGATGGGCAGTGCGACATTCCCCCACGGGGCCATCTCGCTCTGGGACCGCAAGTTCCTCATCAAGACGTTTCACGACCACCCGGGCTTCTCCGTCTCGGAAGACTGGTTCTTCGGGCACAGCTGCCGGCGCCTCGGTGGCAGGATCAAGATGTGCACGTCCGTCTTCGTCGAGACCGAGACGCCGCCCGCTGTGTTCTTCAGCAGCGGGGGCAGCCGCGGCGGCTTCGGCGAGATGACCGTGTTCAAGCAGCGGTTTATGCGATGGAATTTCTTTTTCGTCAACGGGATGTTCTACAACATGCACTACATCCTCACCAGCTGGAAGCTCGGCTGGTGGGAGATCGGCGCCAAGATATTCGTCTTCCAAGAGGTCTACGAGACCCTCTTGTACCTGTTCACGCCATTCATCCTGCCAATCTCATTCATCGTGTCGCCCGCATTCTGCGGGTACCTGCTCGCGGGTACTGTCGTGCTCTACCTCCTAAACGTGGTCATCTTCAACGAGGTGCACCTGCGCATGCGGAAGGAGCGCATCGGCTGGGACGTACTGCTGCTGTACTACATGCCCTACAAGCTCGTCCTGACCCTGGTCAACGTCGCGAGCTGCTACTGGAGCCTGTACAAGTACGCGCGCTACTTCGCCAAGAGACACCCCAAGGTCATCGAGGACGAGAAGGCCGTCGAGGTCGTCCTGCGCCTCGAGGAGACGACGCCCGTCACCAAGGAGGACACCATCTACGAGGACGAGGCCGACGGCGGCAGGCGCATGAGCGTCGCCGTCCTGGGCGCGCAGACAAACCCGCGGACGAGCAAGAGGATCAGCGCCCGCTTCTCGTACATCAGCGGCAGCGGCGACGACACGATCTCCCTCAGCAGCCCGCACAGCCCGTCGCCCCTTCCCACGCCCCCGACGCCCGTCTCCCCGGCGCCCTCGTCCCGCAGCCCGTACGAGCCGCCGTCGCCGGGCTACGGCCCGAGCAAGAGGGTGTCGCACGGCCCCTACCTGGCCGTGTCGGACGCGGCGGCGAGCAGCCCCTACGGCCGGCACTCGCCCACCCTCGGCTACCAGGGCTCGCCCGTGCCCAGCCCCGGCAGCTCCGAGGGCGGCGGCCGCCGGAGCCACGCGGTGCCGCCTGGCGCGGCGATGCAGCCGCCGCAGATGGTGCACGTCTCCGGGGCGAACACGGTCCACTTCGAGGCGTCGCTGGATGAGAGGGCCGGGTCCAGCTCGCTCTACGCGCGGCGGCGGAACAGCTTGTTGTCTAGGAACATGATATGAGGCGAAAATTTGGTGACACGACAGCGTTTATTGTTCGATAAGTGTTCGATAGGGGTGCCATTTTGGGCTTCAGCGTTGGGCATCTGTTTTGGTTCCCGGGGCATCATGCAATGGGATGGATATACATATACGGCGTGTGGGAGGCTACAAAATCCGGCTTCACAGCAAATTTTCCTTTTTCTTTTTTCTTCAGAAAAATGTTCTTTGCTTATTTTCTCTTCTTCTTGTATATACTTAAGACACCGATGTAGGCCAGAAAGCCCTGACAAAGATCTGGTCATGACGTTCTGCCTGATGTCTTGCCATGCAGAAAAGTTAATGGTAACAATAGTAACGTGCCAATCTTCAGATATCAAAACGGGATGAACACTTCCGGTGGCGTTGCAAAGGACGCCACTTGTTGTAGACCAGTTGGTACATTGAGGTGCCAACATGGAATTGTATCAAAGAAAGAGTCTCCTCGACCTCTTTTGTGTCCTTTCCTTTGTCTGTTTCACATGCCTTGCAGGCCACCATTTAACTCCAACTAACCGGAAGCATTAGCCTTTCAACTGATAACCTGCAGGGTTAATGAACCCTTTGTAGAACCGAAGAAGCCAACATACGAAGTCTAGCGTCCTGCTTCACTTACAGGCTGATAAGTACCTGACAGAATCCTGAAGTTCGCTATCTATGTACCATAGAAATTTCTCCCAGACAGTAAAATCTACTACAATGACCTCCTCCGAACAAGCCATCATCATTTCCGCCTGGCCCTGTACCGGCAAAACTACCTTCGCGCAGACATGGACACAACACACCGTGTTCGATATAGACTCGTCGGCCTACGACCTGAAGAGCTCAGCCGGGACGAAGAAATACGTCGAGGACATACAGGCCAGGGCTAGGGCATCTCCAGATGCCATCGTCCTGGTCAGCTCTCATGCTGAGGTGCGCCAGCTTCTGAGGGACAAGGGTCTGAAGTACCTGGCTGTTTCTGTTGACGACCTCGAGGACTGGAAGGAGCGTCAGGAAGCGCGAGTCACAGGCGAGAACGATCTAGCCCAGCTGGGCCTCCTGAAGAAGGGCTTATCGGAATGGGATACCTGGACAAAGAGGGAGGCTGGCGAAGGGCTTAACAAGATTGTTCTTGGGCGGGGACAGTATCTTGCGAGCTCAGATGTCGTAGAGGAAATCCTGAAGGTGGTTAAATAGAATGGACCAGGGCACCAACAGATTAGATACATAAATGGAACTAATACGCTTCCGGAGACATGACAGTGCCTTTAAGTCAGCATTTATGGATAGAAAGTAATCTGTTTGTGAAATTCATGCTGATAGAACATTGAGCGAGTCCAAAATTCAAGTACGAAGGAGAATTTTGCAGTGTGTAATCCGTACTAACATTTTCTCATCCAGGCCAGGCCTGCGAAAACCCAACACAATATCATGACGAGCCACTCGCTCTTCGGCTAGCTTATGTGAGGACCACGTTATCAACCTCAAAACACAGTAGGCCGGTACAAAAGTATGCAGTACACTCTTCCGATCTAGACACAGGCACAGAGAAAGATTCTGATTCTGATACCGAAGCAAGGACGCTGCCTAGTTGGTCAGGGTGTGTATGGCATTTTATAGGTTGAGACGAGACCCGAGTGTTGGTTAGGGTGAAGAAAGAGAATAAAAAGTTGCCTTCCGAGAGTCTCTGTGCGTACGAGAAGAATCCAAGTTCAGGATCGAATACTCGACGATACAGGTTGGGGGGCCAGCTGTGTAGGCGGCAGGGCAGGATCGGTCTCATCTTCAAGCATGGAGTTGACGATTAGACGCTCCCGATTGGGGAAAGAAACCGTGAGTGCCACAACACGGTGGTCATTGCTGATATTTCTATATCCGTAGCGATCCTCGCTTCGGAACACGGCCTCGACGGTGCGAGCAATCCTGTTGGAATATTGTGGGTCGGTCTCATCAGCTGCCTGTGGGTGTTCTTTGAGCCACATCTCTGACAAGCCATCATCCGACGGCATGCCCGGCCTCAAGATGAATGTAACCGGCAAATTGACGCTATACCACGCTGGGAGAGTTCCGTTGTTTATAAGTGAGTAAAGCAGTTCTAAAGCGTGTGGTGCAATGCGTTGGCAAGAGTACTGGACATTGAGCAATTAGCCTTCTGGCCTTTCAAGGGCTGATCCACATGCAAAAACTCACCGGGAAACCAGTTGCCTCATCCTTATATTTAATCCATATCATCTCGATGAATACGAGCTCGGAGCCAGTATCATCCAAGGCAGCCCGGAGCGAGTCGTCACTGACATCTCGCAACTGACCGGTCTCGTCATAAAGCAGCCTCAGCGTCTCCTTGAACGGCCTGGAGTCATCGTCCGGGCCCCCCAACTCTTCCTGCAGCCATTCCGTAACCCAAGGCTGATATTCCTCGTGCGCATACTGATTGGGCTCCTTGGATAGGCGCCAGGCTGAAATATAACCAACGTGATTTTCTTCAAGTTGTCGTCTAGGCTCATCTGTTTGCCCCGGCTCGTCCAGTCCGAAGAAGAGGTCCGCGTAGTAGCCCAGACGAGTGAGGTGGCCCTGCGGATCCGCGTGCACCTGGAGGGACATGCGTAGCCTGCCCGTCTCGCCGGTCCGCTCCAGGCCGATGGGCTTGGCCGCCTTCGCCCTGACCAGAACTTTGGATCTCACGCGCGCACGTGCCCTGCGGCTGACTTGTCCGGGTAGATAGCCGCCGCCGCCGCCGCCGCCTCCTCGACGGCTATCTACCCCGACAAGTCAGCTGTTGTTGTTGTTGGAGGTGGGTCGTGGACCGAAGAGAGGTGGCGCTGAGGCAGCACCGGGCCAGACAGCACCACCGCTGGCGCCGGTGCCAACGATATTGCCAGATTTGGGTTGCGGGGTGAGGAACGTGTTTTTGAACATGCTGTCGCGTGGACTACCACCAACGTCTAAAAGACTCCCAAAAAGCGATGTTTTAGGGCTACCGGTATTCGCTGGCGGTGTGTTCGTTGAACTCCCGAACATGCTATCGCGTGGACCACCACCGGCGTCTACGCGAGGACCACGGTTCGTGCTGGCCGCATTATTTCCGGTTTTATTGCCTGCATCATCGGCCGGGGGGCCCTTTGGGGGGCCACCAGGAGGAGGATTACCAGGAGGAGGATTACCGGGAGGAGGATTACTGGGAGGACCACCGGGAGGACCACCGCGTGGAGGAACACTGAGAGGATCGCCTGGGTTATCGTTGCCAGTGCCCCCGGTGTTGTTTCTCGGGGTACTCGGATCGCCTTCGCGCCCGTTGTTGCTGTCATCGTTGCTGTCTTCCTGCTCCGGGGTCGGGTCACGACCTTGCCCGCGACAGTCTTCAGGGCATCCACAGGACTTGATATCGTTTAATCTCCTCTGCAGAGCCTGCATCGCTTCCAATTGGGCTCGGCGGCCCCTTGGATTGCGAGTGGCAGCCTCCGCGGCACCTTGGCCGGTCATGGCGGGCAACCTTCACCGGAGATCGTCTTTGCTATCTCAAGAAGATGGTAATTAATTCAAAGGTGTATGGCGCTCTAAGCGCAAGGACCCACGCGTCAACAATCAGTCTGGTTATGGGCAGAATAAGCAGGACAGGGCCTGGACAATTCAAAAAGGCATGTTTTCTCTTGTTGCGGGCCCAGAATCATAGCAGACATTTTGCCATGCTTCTTAGTATCTGTATGAGATACAGATGCCATTGAATAGGCCAGTATTGCCAACAAAAGACGCCGAGCAATTGAATAGAGTGGCCGAATTTGGTAAGACAAAGACAACCTCTCATTGAATTCAATTCAGCATGACCTTGTCAGGTCACTGCTTTCAAGCTACCCAGCCAATTGTCTTTGTTTCTGCCGGTTTCAGCACTCAGCCCTTACATGGGACCAAGCGACAGAGCCAGTTTTCCATCATTGTAGAACTCAAAATGATTACATCAAGCTGTATTCACGGATGGATCCGTGTCCGCACCCAGTCAGGCCATTTTCGCACCCGTGTAGAGCCATTCTCGATTCCAATCTTACACTCTTTCTGGCATTCCTCCCGTCACCCGAAATTTGAAGGTTCCGCTTCGGTACGTTGCACTTGGTCAGGATCCATTCATTATCGTCGAACGGCAGAAGGTGACTACTACGGCCCCACAGTAGACCGATTCTCATGAAAGCCTCAAGATGGGCAGATAGGCACCTCTGTATGGCACTATCAATCTAGCATTCGGACATGAGCTTGCAAATAGGTCAAGGCTGATTCATTTCATTGCACTGAAGCTCAGCATATGCCTGGAGGCATGGTTCAAGAGCATGCATGCGACTAAGAGGCAGGCAAACGACCAATAAAGTACAAACTGCATTCATTGACTTGATACTGAAATATGCCAAGAATCAGATTCCAGAAAAAGAAAACTTGACTGTTTTGGCTTGAAAGAGACTCAGTTGTACACAATGATCGTTTGGTGTTAATCTCGGTGAACAACCCGCCGAGGATGGATCACTCCGCCCTTTTGAAAGAAGAATACTGCAGGAGTAGAGTCCAGCCACCTAGAGTAACTTCTGCAGTCATCAAGGCGCATCAGTTCTGGAGTAGTTCGAGTTCGATCGAGGTGGGGAATGAGGCAGGAAGTGTGTGGATTCTGAAGGCGGTTCGGTCCATAAGCCTGGACTTTGAAGAGAGGCCTGATTCGAGGGACTGCGCATCGATGAGGGAGTAGACGAGATGTGCCTTAATGGCGGCTGAGGCCCGCCTCCATTGGAAACTGGTGAAACAGGGCCGAAGATCCCCGTAGCAGATTCCCCCGATCCAACGGTGCCAACACTGCCAACAGTCTGATGCTGGGGGCCGGAAGCATTGCTCGGAGGCACTGTGTTTGCCGTCATGGTACTGTACGTCCTGGTCGGGCGAGCCATGTGTGTTTGATCTGTCGCTGGCTGTGGGGACAGCATAGGATGGCCTTTAGTTTCCCACAAGTATTGATGAACAAGGCCTGTCCCGTTGGGAGCTGCAGTTCCAGAATCAGGTTCCCCTGGTGGCTTATCTTGAGAACTGTTCGGACTTGTCATCGCGTCAGGAGGTTTTGAAGCATGCAATAGCTGTGAGCCGCGCCTTTTGTCCCATAATTCTGTCACTATGTTAGTATCAAAAGTTGCCAATCACTTTGTAAATGTGTTTTGCTTGCCATTGACAGTCTGAGCCGCCGTGAATACAGTCAGCAAGGTGAGGAGAATGGGCACCTGTTGTCCAAAAGAAGTTGCGTCGTCCTCAGGGCTCACTTGCAACTTTGTCGGGTCGGTTTCCAGCCAGCCGGAGTTTTGAGCCCAGCGTCTCAATGTCATGATGAAGTTCGCTGATGTAATTGCCGTTGCTGAGCCAAGAGATACACCGGAAAGCATGTAAATAGTATGTAGCCACTTGAATAATTTGTGGGGCTTGTCGTTTGTATCGTTCTCTTCTTCCGGAACCCAGCTCGAACAGCAGATGGGAATGAAAGCCCTGCCTATCGCAGCCCAGGCCCCGTACTTCCGAAGGATGTGGTAGAAGCGGCGCACATAAGTGACAACCAGCGCAAGAAGATACCAAAGCAGCATAGCTAAGTAGTACCCCCAGCCTCTTATGTGGTTGCTTGGGCTGTCCAGGAAAATCGCATTTCGGGATTGTTCTGGACCGCTAACTGTCTCCTGTATGGTCTTCCACATGTGCGCATCGGCCTGAAAGCAAGCGGCTGGTAGAAATAGGAGGCCGTTGTTTGTTTCATTCACACCTGGTATGACGGTTGGAAATTTTATAGGAGTGTCTGCGTCTTGATTTGTGAGGACCAAACCGGTGACCAGTATGATTCCAGATATGAGAATGACTCTTAGAGAACTTTGCCAGAGGTTGCGCCAGTAATTTCGGACGATCGACATCGAAAGTAAATGCGTCGCACATGTCAAAAGCAACATGTTAGCAAGTACGTTGTAGTGATATGCGGTCACGGAACAGCCGTTGTAGTAGCGAAGCGAGATTGCGAAGGCGCCGCCGGTAAAGACTTGTTGATCACTGCAGGACAGGACTAGAGCCTCGCATATTTCGGTCAAGCTGAACAATTGTCCCCTAAACGATTCACGATTCTGGTTGTGAGAGATTGTCAGAACAGGCAACAAGGAGTGATAACTTACGGCGAAGTTGAAGGAAGGTTGTGGCAAAGCTTCCACATGCGCCAAAGAACATCAATAGCACTCAGAGCAAGGGCGAACATGGTGACCGCGATGAACACAGATACAATCTAGCAACTTGTCAATGAGTGGTCATACGTCAAAATTTACGGGAAGAAAAGTTCTCACCCCTATGCCAGCGACGTCGGGATTGGGAGGGACTGTGCCTCTCAGGCTGGTGACATTGCCATCGCAAGTGATATTCATACCATAATCAGACCTGCATCTCACCACAGAGACATAGGATCCCATCTTTGTCAGGCAATCTCAAGCTGGCAGGTCGCAAGATAGGTGGCAAGACAGGGAAAGACAGATGCAGGATTTCAACACGTCGATTGAGGAGTCCACTGATTCATACACTTGGCGGAGATGAAACACTCATCTAATGAATCACAAATCCGCAAGACGGATAGTTATGCTGGACCCAGGCCCACCACATCAAAGGTCGAGGGTCTATAGATATACCCGGTACCAATGATTTGCAGATTGGGCCCCATATTTGGTCACCTCAGATGAGCTCAGTATTTGCGTGTAGCCCTACGGCTATGGCTGGCACCCGCAGACATCCGAGATAGAAGCCCGAGAGTTTCAACATTTGAGCTTGAATCTGTCAAGGTTTGCTGGACACAGAAAATGTGTAATGCAAGTATTCACCAAGGCACTGCATAGGTTTGCCTGCCACCTGAGCAACCTGGATACAACATAGCACAGCCCTTGTGCCTGCAAACCTTCCAATGTGGCAGGAAACTAAGAAAAAAGGCGCTCACGTAGGACGGTGGCTCAGCTCATAATCTGACTGACGGAGGCACAGCCGACCTCAAGACAAACAGACACTGTCAATTTTCCATGATAAAGTGACACGTAACTTGCCTCAACCTACAATTGGATGCGGACTGGTTCAACTTCCAATCCGTCGATCCAGCTGGTGCAGACCGGGAGCAGTGATCCTCGTGTCAAAGCCTCCCGAAGCTGTCACACAACTTGAATCCAAGAATAGCATATCATCTCGCACAAGAAAGTAGTTTCTGTTCTCCGTTTACGAAAACTCTAACACATCATTAGATGGCATGAGCTTCATGGCGAGTGGCGCTAGAGCCAACGTTGGGTTAACGCTTGCGGGGAGCCTGTCTACGCCATGGTCACGATATTAGTAACACATTGGCATCTGAGCTCAATGAGGGGGCCCTTAGGGCCAAGGCTACTATCAACAAGAAAGGTAGTTGATGCGCGTCTGATGCAACGGAAGAGCACCCAGTGGGAGACAGGATTATTTGGAAATACTGACAGACTTTGTAATACTATCCTTGAGCAAGAGATGGAAGGTAGAATGACCAAGAAGTCTGTGACGTGTTCCGCAGAGGGAAACGCAAGGGGATCTATGTCATTCGCTGTGGATTAATTACGCACGCCATATTTGGCACTGGAGATTTTGTTTTAATGATAAAGGACGAAAAATGGAGCAAGAAAGAAAGGAAAACAGGCTTGGAGGAAGAACTGTCGGATCGACGCAACTAGATGAGCACCAACTCGCAGTTGCTGACTTTAAGTAAGTGGTAATTAGTATACTTCGTATGAGCAAGGCCGATTCGGGACAGCTCAATCTACACTCTGCTAAATAATCTGGGATCCATCCAGAGTATTTGAGAACGGATTTGATAACAAGTATCCACAGTTGGTTGTCTCACGTGAGAAACAATCCCATCGATCTCGAAGTATGTTAACAGCTTGACCGACTGGCTAGTCGATGGCTGGGTTAGAGAGGCGCGTCAAATTAGAACTAAAATCGATTGAAACTAGTAATCAGAATGAAAAAGATTCATGACACTTGAACCACCGCAAAGCTGTGTGATATTTCCTTTGCAAGCCATCAACTCATAATTGCTGCAGCTGACCAACTGCCCCTGGTTCACGATCTCGTTGTCACAGAAGCACTGAGTTGCGTACTCCAGGCTGGTCGCACCTCGCTTCGTCAGCTGTGTTCTTCAAGCTAGCAGTCCTGGGAGCTGGTTGAAATTACTCACCCGGCATACCGATAGCCTTTCGTTTGGCAATATGCCACACAGCTATCCTCTGTCATGTCGTCCGAGTAAGAGGACGCGGCAGCCAGAGACCGCAGGCCCTGCGTCGCTTGGGAATCCGTCAGACAACCAAGGGCACGGTAGCTGCCGATGCTGGGGCGAACTGCCGAGTTTGCTGTGTAATTCGAGTTGTAGTACAGGGAGAGCAAACCAGCGCCCCCGCATGTCTGGGAATCCTTTCCCGAGCACTTCATATTGCACGAGCTGCTCGGCGGGTCCGAGGTTTCCGTCAATATCCTGCCGGACGGCATGAGCGTGTTCCCGACGTAGCACTCCGAGCTGTATTCGACGCCGAAGTACTTGTAGCCCGCGCCACTGTTTCCTTTCTGTGCAAAAGTTGCACACAAATCCACGGTCATACCTGATCCAGAAGTGGATGCACCTTGTAGTGCGCGCGTGGAGGACCCGTCAAAGGCACAGCCGAGATAATCGCCTGGAGAGGGCTGTGATGATGTCTTGCCAAATGAGGGGTCTGTGTTGTTGTAGATGGAGATGGCAGCATAGCCACCACAAACCTCCTGCGTGCCGTTTTCTCTTGCGATGGTTCCACTGCAGAGCCAGGTACATCGCTCGAATCCGCCGATGAGATTGCCAGTATTTGCGGAATTGGTGATCGTGTTCCCGCAATGGCACTCAGTGCCATACTCGACGCCAGAAAGCCTGTAACCATGCGAATTGCAGTATGTCTGACAGGCCGGGACGTCCATGGACTCCGTGGACGTGTGCTTGCCATCGAGGGCCCGCGCCCCACCAGTCGTGTCGTTGAAGCAACCGAGGTATTTTTGCTGCGTCGCAGTTGGGTAGAAGGAACCGATCGACGGCCGCACCGTATGTTGGGCTACCGAGTTGACCGTTGGAGTGACATAAGGCGGTGTCACAGACGTCGGGCAGGTCCAGTCCTGCGGTGTCGCATTCGAGGGTCCATTCGTGATGTTGTTGCATCCAGGGAGTTTTGGTAGCAATCCCAGGACGGTCTCGTTGACAGAGGACTTTTTCAATGGGCAATTCCTGCTGTAGCCATCTGTATCACTTTCTTGCAGATATGGGCAGGCACTGATTTGGCCAGCATTGTCCGTTGCCAGACAATTCGCTACTGCGAGTGCTTGAACTGTCGAGTTCCAGCCGTTGATGAAGTCCCCATGGTAGCCATATCCTAGGAAGGAGAGATGTGTCGTCAACAAATTGAACTATTTCATCCTTGAAACGAGGCTGCATAAAGATCCGCATAACCTACCTGATGGGTCGCCATTGGAAAAGACAAACCGGCCCCAGGTCTGAAACGTGTCAGCAATCACTCTTGGAGTCATGAAGTAGTGGTCCTGGCATTAGAAAGATGGGAAGACCAATACGTACAAGATCACCCGGAATAGAGTCGATACTATATAGAGTTTCCAGGAAAATATGTGGCAGTTGGTGAGGGTGGCTTGGTGGGCAGACCCCGTTGTCGATCTGACTCAGGTGAGCGACATGTGAGCCATCAACCTTGTAAAGGTCAACGCCATTCCAACAAGTTGGAAAATGAATCTGGGCTCGGAGGCCATTGACGCATTCGAAAGGTTTCCAGAAGGTGTTGTTCAGGCCGTTTGCTTCAGGAAAACCCTTGTTGGCTCCCAAACAAGCAAAATTAATAGCCTCAGCGACAAGACGCGGCGGGTTACGTTCGTCACCCCAGGTCTGTACGAAATAGAAGTCAGCCTTGTGTTTCGAGAAACCTGAACTCTTATTCACAGCAATTCTTGTTGTTGACTAACATAGGCCTTGGTGTCAAAAGCCCTGGCTGCAGTGTTGCCAGCAAGCATTTTGAACCCTGCCGGGAAAGGAACAGTCTTTCCGACATTTGGGCCGCGGCCAAGATAGTAGACGACAGATCCGGACTGGTATACGTCGTGAAATTGTCCATTCGCATATTGATAGTACCTAAATTTGTTCGAGTTAACCTGATTTGATCCAAGGCATAGGGTGCGGTCCTCGCTCAAGACTGAGCGCATACAGTATGGGAGCCCAGTACGCGGACTTGTCCGCTTGGATTTCGCAAGAGGTGCAGGCACTATTGATCATGCTCTCGTATGAACTGTCGATGCCAATGTTGCTTCCACCAACAATCGTGTGGCTATGGGAGCTTAGTTTGCCGGGGTTGACTATTGGGTCGATACGTCCATTCATGATCGTGGAACAACCCATTCTCCAGAAAGCCTTCACTTGATACTGCTGGGACTCCAGCAAAAGCACGATTGCGGCGCCAAATCTCAGAAAGGATCTCATCTTGGTCGGTATATTTGCGTCAGCGTAGACTGTGCTTTTCACTAGCAAATCTGTACGATTGCTGTTCTGGACCGATGTTTATTATACATGTGGCCTCATAGCCTTGTGCACCTCCAATTGTCTATCCTCTCCATGGAAGTGAATGCATCAGGTGTGAAGATTCACAATCATGCTCTCACTTCACTGCCGTTCTATTGGATTTTCATGGCGTTTAGCCTGGCTGCCAATGTCGGAGACATTACATTCCTTCAGGCGAAATAATCGGCGCATTCTTGTGTCTCAGTGCCCAAAGTAGGACCACAATGTCTTAGGTTCGGCTCTTGGAGGACTATTTTGCGGTGCCAAGGGATGTCAACGACTATTAGAAGCGAGGTCTGGACCCTATCGTGTAGTACGAAAACTACGAGGGCTTGAGATGGTGATCATGTGGCATAGGCCTAGATGAGTCTTCTCCGCCCTTGCATCACACCTCTCACAAAAGAGCTTGAAACTTTTGTGGGCCTGGCGCACATCGTCCTGCCACGGATGCTGTTCCATCGACACGAGTGGTAACCAGGCGCAGTGTCGACACACTGAGTGGCAAGTCCTTAGTACAGTATTCGTCTTGCAAGCCGATTTGAGTGATTCTTGCGGTGATCTCCGAGCAACGCCTGATGTTCGCCGGTGCTGTGGAAGTATTGTGAACAGAAACTCCGGGCTCGCTGATGCAAACACCCAAGGTGGACGAAACTTCGCCATCAACCCGTCTCTCAAACATGTCGACTCCCTGCAAACTGTCTTTTTTCCCACTCGAATATTTCCGAAACCGTCGACGGGAAACACAGACGTGCATCAGCATGAGAAGTCTCTTCGTGGTAGCAACAGTACGACACGCATTGAGATTGGTGGCTCGGGACTTTGCGTGGTCTCAGTGCCACTGATGCCTCACATCCGCTGCATGTCTAGCTTTCGCAAATTTTCTACCGTGCTGACCGTGGATCACGGGTCAGATCCCGGTGATCTGAGTTTGGGCTCGTTGAATTGATCTGTGTCATTGGTGTTCTCTGCGTCGGGAGAAAATCAGGTACAAACTTCCGATGCACTTGAGACCGGGCCATCACTCTTCTGACTTGGGCGTCTGTCGACCTTGATGCAGGATATCCTCTCTCATCGACACTGAGATATCACCCTTCCTACGGGGAGACTTAGTCAGGGATGGAGAGTGCGGGAGTCACTGCGCGCAAGTCTAACTATCCCAACCCTGAAGTCTCGAGGCGACTAGGTCTAGACGGTGGTGCACGTGTGTGCCCGGACGTCTTGTCGAAGGTGGCAGGGTAGGTGACAACACCATGCCAATCACACGTGCAGCGCAAAGCTCAGGGTTTTGGCACGTCCCTCGCCGCCTTTGGTCACTGCGGTCTAGAAGCCCCGGCGCCGCTCGTTGCCTCTGGGTGCGTGAGCATGCGTCGATAATGACCGCAATGGTCAGACACACCGAGGCTGGGATCGTTTCAGGGCCCGAAGCTGACATAGGTCGTGCCATGAGGCCTCTGTGACGGTTCCCGAGCACGATTGCGCGCCCGAGCATTGCTGGCTGGCCCACCGAGCTCCACTACCGCAAAGGCCGAGCATGTCAAAACACGAGGTTTTCAGTTGGCGCCAATGCCGCCCAAAGCCGCTGGCTCGCGGACCGCGGGAGGGGTTCCGGGAGGTTGGGTGTCTGAGGGTTGGGCGACGGCTGGACCGAATGCCAAATTATGGTTCGTGTGCTGGGAGGTGAAATGGACGGGGTTTGAGAAATCCACCCGGGGAACGCTGCCATACTTTTGGACCCCTATAATGGCCCGCCGAAAGTTGAAGCATATGCTGGGGGCAGACAGCCTGAGGTGTCAAAGCCTCCGTTGCCTGCCCACGGTCCCAATTTGCCCTTGCAGCGTGACTCTGTGCCTGTCTCTGCCGTCTCCCCGGAGCCCGCCGCGTGGTCCGGGGAAGGGTTCCGCGCTCAGTTTGTTTTGTTTCCTCAATGCAACCTCAGCTCGCGGTAGGCCTGTCCGTGTGTCGGCCCAGCGTTTGAGCCTGATGGTGGCCGAGACCATCTGGCATATACACTGTAGCTGCTCGACCCGCGGCAGACAGGGATCGAGCTCATGCGTCCGCCCGGGAGAGGCGGAGCGGCAGGTCATAAACAAGTTTGACGTCGCCCTCAGGCGATGCGAGCTTGCCGTATCGGCTCTAGCCAACAAGGGACGACGACTCAAATAACTCGGCTGTCGGGTGATACAAGACAGCTATGGTTTCCGGTCCGAACCTTGCGCCCAACCGTCATCTGTTTCAGCTTCGAGCTCCCCTCCGTCTGTGCACCCCGTCACGGCACCTTTTTATTCAGGCGAGCCGCGCTCTCCGCTCGCCCTCGTGCCCTGCCGTCATGTCTATCAGCTCTCTCAGCCACATGGTCCATCAAATCCATCCTTCCTAGAGCCCGCCTTGCGCCACCACACAATGCCATCTTCAACCACCTCAACGTCCTCGTCCTCGAGCTCACACAGCTCCAGGGGCTCCGGCCACCACAGATCCTCCAGCCAGAGGAGGTCAAAGGCCCACCACAACCTCGACAGGGCTGCACAGGAGATCGAGGATGATCGGACGAATTACCGTATCATCAGAGATGGGGGCTGGGACAACATCCACCACTTCATGCTGTCATACGGCCTGAAGCCCTACGACCCGGATGACTACGAGACAGCAAAGGTCATCATCCAGGGCTTCCGGGACAGGGGATACTACCGGAAGTCAAGCGGCTCCAGCTCCTCGTCGTCAAGACGCTAGGCCGCCGGGCTTTTGCGGATGATGGGATGCGGGGCACGCCTATTTCGCCGATCGGAAACGTCATCATGACATGGAGCAATCCAGGCTGAGAACGGGAGATGGGGGTTTAATATCAACACTAATGGAGGAGGACACACGCTCACTACAACCCACGCGACTCGGGTTACAAAAAAGTCAAAGACAGTATGCACCTCGCGGTCAAGGAATGTCAAACTCAACAAAAATATGGGCAACCAAAAGGCGGGGGGGAAAGTACCCTGGAAAATTTGAGGCGCTCATTTGGGAATCGGGGCAAAATGCGCCGCGAAAAAGCATATTTCTGGCCATTGGCGTTATGGAACAAGTCGCCGTTACGGAGTCCAAACTGTCTCTAGCGGATACGGCGTCACTGTTGTTTTTTTTTTTTTTTTTTTTTTTTGGAATGGCCATGTACACACATTGTCACTATTATCTCCGTGTAGGGCTTCGGGGCTCAAACCAGTCTCACCTTACTCGGCTGTATCAGTCTGCCTAGATTGAGAGCTGTATTGGTTCGGCGTTGGTTATGGTTCGGCAGCGGAAAGGGATTGGAGACTGAGCCAGCTGGTGTAAGAGGAGTCTTGAACAACCAGCAATTGAGAGAATACATTTTGTTTCCATAATCTATGTGCGGCTTTATGCGGGACAGTTGTATCTGCCTCGAGTCTGTAGGGCTGATGGTGCAGTCATGCAGCCCTATCAGCACTAGGTGTAAACACAAATCGTCCCAGCACATGGCGGCAGCTTGGGTCACATTCTAAAGAATGTCTTCTGCTTATGTTAAGATACGCAGGTCATGTTACATTGCTCTCACATGATAGAAGTACGTTTATATCATGACCTCAAGGCTATCAAATAACGAAAGCTAGGTATCATTGAAAGTGGCTCCGCTACATATAAGTGGACATTTTTGAGCATAGACCTAGTGTAGACATTCCTGGGCGAGATGAAGGAAGCGGCTATAGAGTAGCTGGTCCTCTCACAAAGACAAAGAGGTAGAGGCATCATTTGACCAGACGTATCAAGAGAACGTCAAACTGCTGCTTCATGCACATCGGTGAAGATGACAACATCATTGGATCTTAATGTTCTCCCTTTCCATCCCCACTCTGCATTGCTGACGGCTCGGTTCTCAACCGCATCAGACAGTGACAATCCTTTTTACGACTTGCATATGATGAGGAAAGTATCATTTAACCAGTGGTCCAAGGGATAATATAAGACTGAGCCTTATTTACATCCAATTGTTGAAGCATCGTTCATAAATTACTGCTTATTCACACAAGATGTCTGCAAGTGTATATACACATTTAACGAGTGTACTTCAAGCCACATGTCCCAATGTACCTACTAATTGCTAGTGCAGCGCAGAAGCGCAAGCGATGCAACCCAGAGGACCTATGCAGCTATCCCAACAGAATGCATGGTGTGCCTTATGTGAACCGAAAGTGAAATGGATTCCAATTCCGAATGTTCCGGCAGCTTGGGTGTAAAACAACCCTTCCTAGGCTCTTGATCGTCTCCTCAGTAGCATTGCTGTCTGCTAGGCTTGATTCTAAATCCCAGCCTTGCTATTTTTGCAACTCGTATTCACAAATAGAAATCCATTGTACGGGTCTCGGTGCCGATCTCAAAGCCCCGGCTTTTTCAAACAGCAGTGATCACGGGCTGTGTTGAGCTGCACGTTGTCATGATGACTCACGAATTCAAATGCTGTCAGTCTCATTCTTGTACTTTCTCGAGTCCCAAAATAGTGTCTTAAGGTTGTTAGTACAAAAGTGCATGATAAGGCTCTGGAACATTGTAGACATGGCTTTCGCATAATTATAGTCTGGTAATGTGCAGAAGCTCAGCACTTCTACAATGAGCAACGTCCACCTTACTTTTGATGCTGTTATCATTGACCTCATGAAGAGTCAAGACGGTTGCACCGCGAGCACGTGGGAGACAGTCATTTAACTTGCCACTGTCAGGTCCCCAGCTATGCACTGCCCGCTAGCTTCCGTCAATTTAAATCTCCGTATGAGACTATTGGCCGGGCGCTAATACTGTGGAATGTCTTTCCGAAGTCCTGGCCAGCTGCGATAAAAACGCAAGTATATTCGTGCTAGCTCGTCAGGTCACCGCGGCGGAAGTGCTCCCGTGGACCCGGTCGCGGAAGCATCCTCAAGCCATTCCAAGCCCCCGCAATTCGTGCAAGATCTTTTCTCCAGCCTTGGTCTATGGGGCTTGTCCGCACTCGTCCAAGCCTGCACGTGCTAAACGTGCGGAGAACCTAGTCTGCGGGCTCTGCAAAGCCTCGCTTCGACGCGACCATTGAGCCTGATTCGGTACACTAGGCGCCAAAGGATATCGTGGGCCATTTCACTCGGGACTCTGCGCCGAAATGAGTGTCATCTAACATTTTGGGGGGATTCTATCGTCATGGATAGCACGTGCTTGCGTAAGTGCATGCAGCTTGGGATATAAGTACTTGTGTGCTTCTGGATGCATCTTCCACGATATGCCCGCCATGTCAATATTTGCTCGGAGGATCATTCACCTTGCGTCTCGCCACCATGATCTTCAAGGCATCACTTGTATGGAGTGTGCTGGCCCTCGCGGCTACAGCGCTGCCCTCGGCTCTTCACATAAGCAACAAGCAGCCTCCTCCAGCGTACCCTATCGGACAAGGAAAAGGCTCGAATGCCAAAGTTTCCGGCCGAGTCTTCAACATCGTTGGTAAAAAGGGTTATTTCGCTGGTGAGTTCAAAATGCTCTTGTGTCATCCATACACAATACCTGTGGAATCGTGATCACTGACTGACCTGTGGTATCCTACAGGGAGCAATGCATGGTGGCTTGCACACTTGAGCAATAATGATGATATCGACGTCGCTCTAAGCCAGGTGGCTAAGGTACGGAGACCACCTTGCCTGACAGTCGAAAGGGGCTGGCTGACTGACGCGGGATCGTAGACCCAATACAAAGTCCTCCGTGTCTGGGGTTTCGGCGACGTGAACACGCTTCCGGACCCCAACAACGGGGACCCTAACAAGGTGTACTTCCAGGTGCTGAACTCGACCGAAGTTACATCAACTTCGGCCCGGACGGCCTGCAGAGGCTCGACTACGCGGTCTCGTCGGCCGAAAAGCACGGCGTGAAGCTGGTCCTGAATTTCATCAACAACTGGAATGACTACGGAGGGATCAAGGCGTACACGACCGCGTTCGGGGCCAACGCGACGGAGTGGTTCACGGACGCGACGTCGCAGAAGGTGTACCGGAACTACATCGACATCCTGGTGAACCGGTACAAGAAGTCGACGGCCATCTTCGCGTGGGAGCTCGGCAACGAGCCGCGCTGCAAGGGCTGCCCCACGTCGGTCATCACCAAGTGGGCGGCGGACGTGTCCAAGTACATCAAGAGCCTCGACCCGGGCCACCTGGTGACGCTCGGCGACGAGGGCTGGTTCGCGCCGGGGACGGCCCTCAGCGGCGACGACGGGTCGTACGCATACTCCGGCGGCGAGGGCGTCGACTTCGTGGCCAACCTGGGCATCTCCACGCTCGACTACGGCACCTTCCACCTGTACCCGGACTCGTGGGGCTACGAGTACCCCTGGGGCAGCGACTGGATCGTCCAGCACGACGAGGTCGGCAAGAAGTCCGGCAAGCCCGTCATCCTAGAGGAGTATGGTGCACCGTTCCCGGGCAACCATACGCCCATCTACAAGCCCTGGCAGGACGCCGTGGTCAAGAGCGGCGTGGCAGCGGACCAGGTCTGGCAGTTTGGGACGCACGACCTCGGTGTGCCGGGTGAGAGCCTAGGGGATGTCAACTCGATCTACTACAACGAGACCGAGTATAAGGTTCTGGGCTTTGAGCACGCCGCTACCCTCCTCAAGAAGAAGGTCTGAGCACTGCTAAAAGACAAGGTCATTGTCGAATGTTTATACAGGACCTTTGCTGCCAGTCGAGGAATGAACCAACTCAACTAGATTCCAACCGTGTACGTCCATGTCGGCGTTAGACTGCCTGTGCCACGAGGACTGCACCGTGGTGAGATCGATGACGCTACTTTGTGGTGACCTACCTGCCTATGATGATGTTCAAGTTCAGATGTCTGTTGTAGCAATGGCCATCTTGTTGTGTCTTGGCCTTGTATTTTTGAAGTCTTACGCTAGATGTAGCATATGTTCCTCACAATCGACGATGGATATAAGTGAGTCAGCGTACGCCTACCCAGCTTCCATAGTACGCCCACCCAGCTTCCAGCGTTGGCCCACCCAGTACTTCCTTTTCTTAGTATTATATTAATAAGATTAGGTACTTTTCTAAATTTACCCCACATATAAAAAGCTAGGGTAGCTATTTTCTAATTTAAGCAATACTTTAAAAATACAAGCCTAAAAAGCCTAGAGGGCCCCAGAGCGCCCAGAGGGCCCCAGAGCGCTTAGAGGGCGCAGAGGGCTTAGAGGGCGTAGAGGGCTTAGAGGGCGTAGAGGGCTTAAAGGGCGCAGAGGGCGCAGAGGGCGCAGAGGGCGGCAGAGGGCGCAGAGGGCGTAAATGTAACGAGACATACAAGGGCTTCTAGAACCAGATCAGGGAACCAAATGGAGTTGCTAACAGCCAATTTAATTAAAGTATCTTGCAAAGTATGTATATATATTAAAAGAAGTTAATGCTAGGCGGGCTATGGAAGGTATGGTATATTAAAAGAAAGGGGAGTGCTTAGTTATCCCTTAACATGCCTAGCCCTTAAAAAATATATATATCCTTATGCGCTTTAATATTATTAAATAATCTTATAATTACTTCTTTTTTAAGAGTTTTTGGTCTTAATTAATTTACTATTTATTTCCATTATCTTACTTATTAAATTTATTGGTAATTAATAAACTTATTAAGTTTAATAGCTTAGTTACTAGCTTAATTAATAAACTTATTAGGTTTAGCAGCTTAATTAGTAAATTCATTAAGTTTGGTAGCCTAGTTGGTAAACTTATTAGGTTTGGCAGCTTATTTAATGGACTTATTAAGTTTATTAGCTTACTTAAATTTAGCGGCTTAGCTAGATTTAGCGGCTTAGTTAAATTTATTAGCTTAGTTAATAAAAATTAAATTTAGATTTATAATAGGTATATTTATAATAGCTATAGTTAAAGTAAAAGCGTTAATAGCTGCGATTTAAGGGTTTTAATTAATAACCTTATTATTATTTATAACGTAGATATTAATTTATATACCTTTTTTTTCCTTTTTTAAGCCTTAATAAACCTTTTTAGGCTTAATAATCTTCTTATTTATTAAGAATTTTTTAAAGTTATTTAAGTCTTTAACTTAATTCTTATCTTTCTTTTTATCCTTATTATTAAATTGCTTAAATTTATTAAGCTTTATATTTTTTATTAATATAATAAAAGGCTATATATTAAGCATTTTTAAGGCATTATCTTAAAGCAGTTTATTTAATTAAGCCTTTAGGTTTAGGTAAAGTTTCTTTATTAATTTCTTAACCTTATTGTAATTAGCATTATTATTATTATTTTATAAATTTATTTAAGAATTCTTTTTAAGCTATATAGGAAGATTTACCTTAAGGTTATATTTATTATCTTTTTATTAGTTAATAATTTCCTTATTGCTATAGTTTTGCTTAATATTTTATTGCAGAAAGTTAATAACATTAGGGTTTATAATTAAATTAAGCAAACCCTTTTTTTAATAATTATAAGTATAATAACTTTTAAACTTATAAAAAAAATAAGTAAGCTTATTATAATCCTTTTAAGTAATTTTTTTAATAATATAATAAGAAATATAGCATTAATAGTAAATGTTGCCTTAATTATAAAGATTTTTATAATATGCATTATAAAGTACTTAAGTTATTATATACTAAGCTATAATCTTTATATTTTATTCTTTAAGCTTAATAAAAAAGTTTTTATTTAAAATATTAATTAATAAGTATTTAAAGCGTATTTATATAATGTTAATGTAATTAACCTTAAAAAGGAATTTTATATTATTATCTTAAATAAAGTAAAGAATTATAACATTTTATTTATTGCTTATTATAGCTATTTAAATATAAACTTTAATAAGGTTATAATAAACTTTTTTATTAAATAAGGCTTAAAGGCAAGTTTTAATTTTATTAACTTAAGTATTATAAGGTATAATAATATAAATTTAAGGGTTTATTATTATATTAATATTTAAAATATAAAATTAATAAATATAAGCTGCTATTTTTATTAATAGCTAAGCTTATATTATATTAATAAAGCTAATGCCTTTCTTAATCATTATGAATTAATATATTAAAGAAATATAATTATTAAAAAGCAACTTAATTACCTTATTATTAATAAAATTAAAATTTATTTTAAAAGCATGCATATTATAAATAAACTGCTAAGTAAATATATATTAAGCATAAGTTAAGTTAAAAGGTATATAAAAGTTAAAAATGATTTATATATTTTTATTATAAAAGATATTAAATATAAGATTTTAAAGTTTTTTATGCTATTAATAATTTTTTATTAAAGAAAGCAATGCAATTAAGTCTTATAGCTATAACTTAATAAAAAAGGGGTATTAAAAGCTAATTAAAGTAGATATTCTTATATTTATTATTCTTATTATATTATTTATTAATAAATAATTTATTTTAATAATAATTATTAATAAGTATAAAAAGGTAGTAATTAAATATAATTTATGCTTAGCAAATATATAATTTAAATTCTTACAATGCTTTATTAATAAGAATAACTATAGGGTTTATAAATTCCTTATGCATTAAAAATTAAGCAATAATAAATATATAAATAATAACCTTAGCTTTATTAAGAATCTTTTTTATAAATTTATTAATATTTTTATTTAAGATTTTTATTTTATTTAAGGTTAGGATATTAGCTAAGTTGCTAAGTTAATGCAATAAGTGCATTAAGCTAAGCTTATATTCATTTTGCAACTTTTAAAGTATAATGTTTTTTAATTTTTAAATATTATTATACTTATTATAAGTAAACTTCTTAATGCAATTTATAAAATTATATAGCTTTTTAAGCTATATATTTAAGCGTAAAATATTAAAAATTCCTAGGGCTTAATATATACCCTTATTATACTTAAAGTAAAAGCTTTTTTTTAATGCCTTGCTTTTTAGTTATAAGTTAATAATATAAATAATAAGTTTATTAAATTATAGGTTAATATTAAGCATTTTATATATTAAAGCTATAATATTATTATTATTTATGTTTTAATTAACGATAATTATAACTTAAGGATTATAATTAAGGTTTTTAAGTTTAAGCTATTTAATTTATAAAGCCATTTCCTTATAAATATTATTTATAATAGCTACCTTTTTTTTAATCTTTATAATTAAAGTTATATTATAAGTAATTTTATTTTTAAACCTTATTGCTAATAATATTAATAAGTATTATAAGTTTTAATACTTTTTATAAATTAGCTTAATATAGTTATTTGCTATTAAAAAAGGATAGTTATAATTAAAGTTATAATAATAAGTATTTTAAATAGCAATAAATAAAGACTTATAATATATTTTTTATTTTATAATATTTACTTTAATAAATTAATAAATATATTATTATTAAGCAAGACTTAGGCTAAATATAAAGTTAGAAATTTTATAGCAATTTTAAACTTTCTAATTATATTTATAAACATTATTTTTATATTACTTATTTTTAATTAAATAAGCATTATTATTATTATTTAAGAATGTTATAATAATTAGCTTAATATTATATTATATATTATCTTTATTAAATTAATGCTTATTATTTAAAAAGCTAAGGTTTAAGTTATTCTTATTAAGGATTTTCATTATCTTTAATTAATAAATTATATGCAGTGCATCTTAAATAAATAAATATATGCAGGTAAGAAGAATAATATAAGCTAGTATAGTTTTATTATTATTAGAAATGCTTTTAATAATTAAAGCTATAAAGGGCATCTTAATAAGCATAATTAAGGTATGCCTTTAATTCTTAGAGAATATATACAATGCTTATAAAATGCATTAAATAATAATGGCTTTATAATATTAAAACTTTAGTATAATAATGGCAATAATTTTATTATTTGCATCTTAAAGCATCTTTAAGTAAAAGAAACCTTTATGCTTATCTTAAATGTTATTTAATTTATAAAATAAAAAAGCTAAGTTATAGTAAAATTAATGCATTGCTTAACTTAAGATAAAGAAAATTTATATAATATTTATAATAATAAGATTGCTATTAAATATAGTAAATTATTAGATTAAGGGGGTGTCTTGAAATTTCTTTATTTTAAAAAGGCCTTAGACCTTTAATTTAATTATAATATTATTATTAACTTTAATAAAATAAAGGTTAATTATAAACTTTTTTATTTTTTCTTTGTTAAAATTAAATATTTTTATGAATTTATTTAATTTATTATATTTAAGGAGTTAGGGTTACTTAAAGTTAAGGAATGAGGCTAAAGCTATTATTAGTTTTTTCTTAAGCTAACTTATTTATTTAAGCTAATATGCTATAAATTAAAAGTTAAATAGCTTATTTAATAAATTATTATATAATATATAAATTAATATAAATTGTAAAATGTTAGCCGTTATATTTATTAATAATATAAAGTAATTGCAATACTTATTAACTTTCTTTATAATTTTAATGTAATGCTTTTTTAGGGTCTTACTTTTAGTATTATTTTCCTTATTTGCATAATGCTTTTAAAGCCTTTATAAAAGTATATAGGTAAAGTTATAAATAAGCTTTTTTTTATTATTAAACTTTTTTATTATTATAAATAGCTTAATAATTATAATATATGCATTAACTTATCGCTGCTTAATATTTATTTTATTCTTATTATAAGA